TTAATTCCAACTCATCACTCCCATTGGCATGATGAGTGCTGAGTACTTTGGCACATCGGAATTCACTCCCAGAAAACTCTGAAAATTCATTTTTTCAACAGAAGCTTACTATACATTTATTATTACAGCATTTCATACAGGCAAACTAAAAGAAACTTGTCTAGGCATGATATGATCTCCTGTAAAAGCAAAAGTAGTTGACTTAAATTGAAAAAAAGTAAATATTTTACAGACTGCTTACATGAGAAAAACATTGTATAAACACAGGTCTTAAAGAATTGATAAAAATATATGGCAGCTAACAAAATAAAAGATATATAATAACTAAAATTGATAATGTCATATAGATAAAAAATGCTTCTTTTCTGAGTGAAAATGAGACCATTTACTCTAGAAATCAATGGATGGATGTTTAACAGATAAATTTATACAAATATTGCTCATACAGGTAATGGTGCCAAGTATTATTATCAAGAAAATACTGGAACTGTGAATACTTGTTACCAAGCAGTCTCTTCCTACTAAATTTAATTAGCTTTTCATGATTTAAAATGTATTTGGATTTTGTGAGTAAAACAATGTGTGCCTCTATAAGTGTACTTGTACATTGTTTCAAATTATTAAGTATACTATTTCAATTACATTAAAGACATCACTCCTTATCTGTGACATATCTATAATTCTCTGCCAATCAACATGCCTTTATTTTCAGGGCCAATGAGTAGGCAACATCAAGTTACATATTCCACTGACACTCACTGGTCAAAACATTTATACAGTATCTTTCCAAAGTTCCTGAACCCTTTCTTGTGACAAACAAATACTTACTGAGTTGACTTGTTCTCATGGCATTCTTCATGTGATCATGCACTTTTACCAAAGACTCATTTCTCTTGTTTTCCTTCACCAAGCCGAGAGACAGGTCTGATTCTGAGTAGTCTGGTGGTTTGTCAGGCAAGTTGTCCCTGGTACATATTAGGTAGCACATCAGTACTATGAGGATCACTAGGGAAAACCCACCAATAAAAAGACATATTACTGCCTGTAGGTCAGTTAAGGAAAGGTCACTGTCATTTTAAAGTGGATGTTTTATTACAAAATAACAGTGTCAGTCTGCATTGTCACTTCATTGGTAAATTGACCAGGTTCACTTGCATTGTCAAGTTCAATCATGAAATTATTCTAATTTACTATTAAATTCCTACCAAAATCAAGAAAAAGTGTTTTACAAAAACACCTAAGATCAAATTGAAAATTCAATCCAAGAAGGACATTTGTGCGTGCACGCGCGCACACACACACACACATACACACACACATTTTAAAGGGATACAATCAAAACGTGTATGTCAATGGTTCTAGGTGGTTCATGATATGCTATTTCCAAGTTGCACATATGATATGTTCCTGTGAGTGGTTCATATTGGCTCTCATCACTCCCCTCACTTGACCAGCCTGTGTCACATATGCACCCTTTACCTTTGTCATTTTGTTGGCCATGGTGACACTTATAGTGCTTCTGAAACATTGCATTTTTCATTCTATATGTATATAAATATTTCATTTGTATTCTTAATTTTCAACTTAGATACCATATGACAGTAAAAAAATTATGCAGAGTTAATTCTGAATGCATTTGTTATATAGTAAATGAATGTGAATTATCAGCACTCATCATGCCAATGGGAGTCATGAGTTGGAATTAAAAGAAACGATAAAACTATTTGCATTAAAAAACATATGGTAACTGGAATGTATCAAACAGTTCAAATGAGATTAACTAATGCATTTCAAAGAAACATTGCGTGACAAAAGAAAGCTTACAATTTGCATTACATCCAATATTTCTAGATCTGATGATGCTCTGCTACCAGCCATGTAATTCAAATCTTCTTCTTCCAAAGCTAAGTCAAAATCTCTGCACTGATTGAACTCCTTCAAATAAACCTAGGTATTTACAATAGAATACGCATTTATAATATTTGTTTCAAATTTTTAGGAAAAGAGTTTTTTTATTTGAAATAAGCCTCCCTGTCCCCCCTCCCGGCATTCTCATCGCCAACAAGTTTATCATCACCTCACATTCTACTGACTTGTGAAAAGAAAGAAAAAAATGAAATTATATAAAAAAAACTTGACCTTACATGGGTTAAAGATTCACAATATATTTATTGCTGTATCAAAACTAGATGTGGTTCTGTAGGGTATTTTACCAACTTTACCTTGGTGGGTGTGTTTCCTGCTGCTGCACCAGAAATACACGGAGGCACCTCTTCACACCTTCTAGTTTTATCATTGAAGACATTTCTAAAGCCATTGTATTTGACTACACAGTCCACAGGAGTACAACGGTTCAGTCTATCTTCATCAGGACTTCCACAGTCAGGATACCCTAGACAAGCCAGGTAGAAAAAATAAATTTGGCCATACATACATCTTGCAGTAAATATTGAATAATAATACTAATAAATAATAGCTGAACATTGCATGGAATTATCTTTAAATTAATTCTTTTTACCGCATAGTTACAATCTTTGTTTGACAAATAACTTAAAACATAATGACAAAATATGGTAATATTTTGTCTTAATTATTAATGTAAAATATTCGTAACAGCTTATATTCTCTTCAATTCATGTTTGTCTCAGTTATTCATGCAAACCTGACTTACCTTGCAAATCTGATGCAAACCAACTGTTATATGAAGCAGTTGTATTAAAATTAATCTGATGCCTTATTGCTTGACTTTTGTTGTAGATGGCATCAACTTGACAATATCCTATTCGATCTATTAAGTACTAAATGAAGGAAAAGAACAGAGATAGTCTAGGTAATCATATGGCAAATTACAATGAGAAAGATAAAAAATAATCAATTTACATTTTTGTTTGTTTGTTTTTTTTTAATCTTTTATATACAGCTTTTTAATCCACATTGCAGCAAGAAAAATTGTAAAAATTTGAAAATGACAAACCTTGGTTTGTGGCTAAGAAAAATGAGCAATGGAATACCAATGCCAAGAAAAATTAAAAGGTACATTGCTCATGACAGAAATGAGAAAAATGAGCAGAAAACTGTTAATGCTACTGTTCAATCAAAACTTACCAGGTTCACAAACATAAGGGTTATATTGCAAGAATCATATGGGGACAAAATGACTTTCTTTCCACCTATTAGATGCATGGACTAGAAAGAAAATATTGCAGTTTTGATATGCTAAAAAAAAGTAAAATGTTTCTGAAAATTCAAATTAGAAACACTTTAGTATTAAATTTTAAAGTATCAAATTAAATAAACCTATTTTTATCATATAAATCACTCATTAGCTACAGTTCCTGAGTTGGTTTCACAAAAGTGAAACAATCACATACCTCACAATCCTCTGGTGATTCTAGAAGGCAACACTTGTGCATCGCTGCTTTTAAATTCAGTGGTTCTTTTCCCTGATTCTGAGCTGTTACATCTAAGAAAAACAAGTCTGACTATACTTTTACAAATACTCAAAATTTAATGGTAACTGATAAATGTTTTTATCTCTCTCTTTTAATTATTCTTTTAAATTACATGTGCCATATCTCTTTATTTTTAGAAAATCTGGAATTCATAATTACATTTTAAGATGCAAAATGCACTTACAAAATATAAGGCCAGTATCCTCTCTGCCAAAAGGTTTAATCCCAGAATCCTAAAGCAAAAAATGTTACATTTGAATTTATGCACCAGATGTTTACCAACTGGTTTACTGTCATAATCATGTACAGTGTAGTCATGGTAGTAGGTATGCTGTTAAGTAAATATATTTAAATCAACTCTGAAAATTGGCAATCAAATTTTGTCTTATTTTAGGGTATACCATTACCTTTCATCAGTGAACTATCATTCTTGCAGATTCTCAATAACAATGCTGAATTAAAATGAATATATATAAACATCTGTATGTTTTCAATAATCTACAACATTTGAAAAAAAAGATGGTTTAATGTACAATGTTTCTTGCTGCATGTTATTCACCTTTATCCTCAATGGGATTTGCTCTTCACATTCACAAGGGCTCATCATAAGTACATGTAGACAGAGGCAGATGAGAATACCCTCATATATGAAAGAACGGCTAACCATTTTTGATCTATGCATTTAACACATATATACAAATCTTAAAAGAAAAAGAAAAATATTATTATACAGATCTAAGGTGCAATGTGTATGTTCTCTTAATGACTAGATGTTAAAAGATTAATCTGAATAATAATCTGTTTACTATACCGGTACAAAGATGATTGGCTAACTAATATGGAGATATTAAATTATTCATCTGAATAATAATCTGTTTACTATACAAAGATGATTGGCTAACTAATACTGAGATATAATTAGTCAAAATAATATTGTGGTGCACATTTCAAAGCAAAATATTTGAAAGTAAGTCAGGAGTTATTTCATGTTACATGCACACTTGTACCCACCAGATGTTTCTTTTCGAAATTCTGTTGACTTGTCAGTGCTTTAATGACCAGTTAAGTGTATACCTGATGGAGATTGCAATTCAATTGCAAGGAAGCACCTACAAATTACAAAACGTGTAACTTGACTGAACTATAAAAATAAAAGAAACCGGCCAAAAGAGACCCAATTCATCAATACACAGTACGGATACATGAGACTAAATATAAATCGTCATAAAGAATATGTAAAAACATAAGATACTTCACAATCACGTGTGTATCACGATGAAATGGAACGTTTTGCTGACAACTAATAAGTGAATTAACTTTGTTCAACAACAACGTCGTCTGGTCCATTTCCGGTTACACTGGAACTCCGCATAAACAGTCACGTGATCGTTTCAATTTGAAAATCAAAAGTCAACATTGTATTTTTGCCTTTTAAAAAACCTTTTGAAACAGCAGTCTGTATTGCATTTTATTATGTTTTCTGCAATTAAAGACAAGTGATTGTTCGAAATTATTTTCATAGCAAAAAGTATTGGCAGTTGGTTTTAAGTGCAGCCCTTGACATAACGAAAATTCAAACTGAGGGTCGGGCAAACAAATCGGTATGTGTAAAAACTACATTAATTCCAACAATATTCGCCTTCAGGGACTGGGTTTGATGTACTGCTGGAGTCACGAAATAATATTTTCACTACTGAATTATATTTTATAAGACAAACTTATTTCAGTTACATTAAACGTTGCTTCTCTTCAAAGATGTCAGATTATTGAACTGAATGAGGAAGCCGATTGTGAAGGGAATTAATTAGTTTATTTGGTCATGCATAAATTGCAAGGCCATCAACGTTAAACATCTGATATTCCTTCTGCATTGTCTTTGGAATGAAATTTAACATTGGATAATTTTATAGTAAGATTACTAATAAATGCATGATGAAAATGTATTTTTGATAAAACCCTGGTAGTAAGAATTAACCCACAATTTCTTTTTGTGACAGAACCCAAAATGAGTGCAAACGTTGCAGAAATATGTGAGAACACCAAGATGGGAAGGGAGTATGCCCTTCTGGGAAATTACGACACTTCCTTGGTCTATTATCAAGGTGTAATACAGCAAATACAAAAGCTGCTAACATCAATCAAAGATCCTACAAGAAAGCAGAAGTGGCAACAGGTAAATAAGGATATAATGCATGTCTTTAACATAATTTATGCAGTTTTTAAGCAGTAATGATTGAACACTTCTTCATTCAGGCCTTTGATATTAAAAAGATAACTGTCATTGCCCCTTTTTTAGTATAAACTTTTCCCTACACCAGTACAAACAAGATGGATTTATTGATAATTAACCTATGATTTATCATCTTTTTGCACATTTGTACATTTTTAGGTGCGTCAGGAGATTGCAACAGAATATGAACATGTGAAGGATATAAGTAGCACTCTTGCCAGTTTCAAAGCAGATAATGCACGCAGTGAATACAGGTCTCCTCTTGGAGGTTTTCATGAAAATGAGGAGCCAACTAGAGACCCTGATGTGTGGCCACCACCAACACCTGTAGAGCATAGGTAAGTGACATAGAAAAAGCAATGCTATTGTTTCTCAGTTGAGATATCATTTTGGTGAATTCATATATATATATATATATATATATATATATATATATATATATATATATATATATATATATATATATATATTTGCCTTTATTTTACTTTTTTCTTTTTTNTTCAAGGAAGAATCTTAAAATTTTGTTTACATAATTTTTTAATCAAATTATTTTGCAATTGGCCGGTTCAGCTTGAATCCATATATGGGAGCCTGGAATCTCTATTTAATTGAATAAGTTTTTGCAATGGGCTGGTAAACCTAGAAGCAGACAAGTTCTTGACCACTGGATGACTGACATGAAAAGGCTTCGTTTAATGGACTGAGGGCATTTAAGAATTGATGATGTACAGAAGGGAATTCTGTCCAGCACAGACCTATATATGCACTGTTGCATGATAAAAAATAGATTTCTCAGGGCTTCAATAATTTTGTCTCAATAACTACTAATTATTAATTAACATACGATACAAGCAGCTAAAAAGAAAACTAGTTTGCAAAAGATAACTTCATGCAAACAAAAGAAGATTTACCTTTAGCACTTTAAGAAAGTCTGCCTTCTGACTTTGCCTTTGACAACTCTTTCTGCAGTTCATGTTCTGACCTATAAAATTGCACACAGCCCATTGGGAACAAACCTCTTCTGTGGTTGCATAGGCCCTATATAAAATAAATAAAAGGGTTATATTCCATCTACACATTTTGGGATATGATCATAAAACAATAGCTGATTTAAAATAAGTTACCTGTGTGATTGCAATATATGGTATATACATTTATACATATGCATGCAAGCATGCACACACACCTCAAAATTCCATCCTTTATAATTTCACATTTGCAAAGCACAAATATGAATCAAACATTTTTTATTCTTATACCATTATAAGGAGGTATATTTCAAAATATACTTGACAGCAGAAATATCATAGTTTTTACCTCCCACAAGCCAGAGACATTGGTTCTTCTGAGATTTGTTATGATATTTCCTGGGATTAATTCCAACTCATCACTCCCATTGGCATGATGAGTGCTGAGTACTTTGGCACATCGGAATTCACTACCAGAAAACTCTGAAAATTCATTTTTTCAACAGAAGCTTACTATACATTTATTATTACAGCATTTCATACAGGCAAACTAAAGGAAACTTGTTTAGGCACGATATGCTCTCCTATAAAAGCAAAAGTAGTTGACTTTAATTGAAAAAAAAAAGTAAATATTTTACAGACTGCTTACATGAGAAAAACATTGTATAAATACAGGTTTTAAAGAACTGGTAAAAATATATGGCAGCTAACAAAATAAAAGATATATAATAACTAAAATTGATAATGTCATATAGATAAAAATGCTTCTTTTCTGAGTGAAAATGAGACCATTTACTCTAGAAATCAATGGATGGATGATTAACAGATAAATTTATACAAATATTGCTCATACCGGTAATGGTGCCGAGTATTATTATCAAGAAAATACTGGTACTGTGGATACTTGTTACCAAGCAGTCTCTTCCTACTAAATTTAATTAGCTTTTCATGATTTAACATGTATTTGGATTTTGTGAGTAAAACAATGTGTGCCTCTATAAGTCTACTTGTACATTGTTTCAAATTATTAAGTATACTATTTCAATTACATTAAAGACATCACTCCTTATCTGTGACATTTCTATAATTCTCTGACAATCAATATGCCTTTATTTTCAGGGCCAATGAGTAGGCAACATCCAGTTACATATTCCACTGACACTCACTGGTCAAAACACTTATACAGTATCTTTCCAAAGTTCCTGAACCCTTTCTTGTGACAAACAAATACTTACTGAGTTGACTTGTTCTCATGGCATTCTTCATGTGATCATGCACTTTTACCAAAGACTCATTTCTCTTGTTTTCCTTCACCAAGCCGAGAGACAGGTCTGATTCTGAGTAGTCTGGTGGTTTGTCAGGCAAGTTGTCCCTGGTACATATTAGGTAGCACATCAGTACTATGAGGATCACTAGGAAAAACCCACCAATAAAAAGACATATCACTGCCTGTAGGTCAGTTAAGGAAAGGTCACTGTCATTTTAAAGTGGATGTTTTATTACAAAATAACAGTGTCAGTCTGCATTGTCACTTCATTGGTAAATTGACCAGGTTCACTTGCATTGTCAAGTTCAATCATGAAATTATTCTAATTTACTATTAAATTCCTACCAAAATCAAGAAAAAGTGTTTTACAAAAACACCTAAGATCAAATTGAAAATTCAATCCAAGAAGGACATTTGTGCGTGCACGTGCGCACACACACACACACACACACACACACACACACACACACACATTTTATAGGGATACAATCAAAACATGTATGTCAATGGTTTTAGGTGGTTCATGATATGCTATTTCCAAGTTGCACATATGATATGTTCCTGTGAGTGGTTCATATTGGCTCTCATCACTCCCCTCACTTGACCAGCCTGTGTCACATATGCACCCTTTTCCTTTGTCATTTTGGTGGCCATGGTGACACTTATAGTGCTTCTGAAACATTGCATTTTTCATTCTATATGTATATAAATATTTCATTTGTATTCTTAATTTTCAACTTAGATACCATATGACAGTAAAAAAATTATGCAGAGTTAATTCTGAATGCATTTATTATATGGTAAATGAATGTGAATTATCAGCACTCATCATGCCAATGGGAGTGATGAGTTGGAATTAAAAGAAAAGATAAAACTATTTGCACTAAAAAACAAATGGTAACTGGAATGTATCAAACTGTTCAAATGAGATTATCTAATGCATTTCAAAGAAACGTTGCGTGACAAAAGAAAGCTTACAATTTGCATTACATCCAATATTTCTAGATCTGATGATGCTTTGCTACCAGCCATGTAATTCAAATCTTCTTCTTCCAAAGCTAGGTCAAAATCTCTGCACTGATTGAACTCCTTCAAATAAACCTAGGTATTTACAATAGAATACGCATTTTATAATAATTTTTTCAAATTTTTAGGAAAAGAGTTTTTTTATTTGAAATAAGCCTCCCTGTCCCCCCTCCCGGCGTTCTCATCGCCAACAAGTTTATCATCACCTCACATTCTACCGACTTGTGAAAATAAAGAAAGAAAAAAATGAAATTATATAAAAAACTTGACCTTACATGGGTTAAAGATTCACAATATATTCATTGCTGTATCAAAACTTGATGTGGTTCTGTAGGGTATTTTACCAACTTTACCTTGGTGGGTGTGTTTCCTGCCGCTGCACCAGAAATACACGGAGGCACCTCTTCACACCTTCTAGTTTTATCATTGAAGACATTTCGAAAGCCATTGTATTTGACTACACAGTCCACAGGAGTACAACGATTCAGTCTATCTTCATCAGGACTTCCACAGTCAGGATACCCTAGACGAGCCAGGCAGAAAAAATATATTTGGCCATACATACATCTTGTTGTAAATATTGAATAATAATACTAATAAATAATAGCTGAACATTGCATGGAATTATCTTTAAATTAATTCTTTTTACCACTTAGTTACAATCTTTGTTTGACAAATAACTTAAAACATAATGACAAAATCTGGTAATATTTTGTCTAAATTATTAAAGTAAAATATTCATTCGTAACAGCTTATATTCTCTTCAATTCATGTTTGTCCCAGTTATTCATGGAAATAATGCAAACCTGTTTTACCTTGTAAATCTGATGCAAACCAACTGTTATATGAAGCAGTTGTATTAAAATTAATCTGATGCCTTATTGCTTGACTTTTGTTGTAGATGGCATCAACTTGACAATATCCTATACGATCTATTAAGTACTATATGAAAGAAAAAAACAGAGATAGTCTAGGTAATCATATGGCAAATTACAATGTGAAAGATAAAAAATAATCTTTTTTTTTTTAATCTTTTATAATACAACTTTTTAATCCACATTGCAGAGTATGTTTTCATTAAAAAAACAGCAAGAAAAAATTGTTTAAGTTTGAAAATGACAAACCTTAGTTTGTGGCTAAGAAAAATGAGCAATGGAATACCAATGCCAAGAAAAATTAAAAGGTACATTGCTCATGACAGAAATGAGAAAAATGAGCAGAAAACTGTTAATGCTACTGTTCAATCAAAACTTACCAGGTTCACAAACATAAGGGTTATATTGCAAGAATCATATGGGGACAAAATGACTTTCTTTCCACCTATTAGATGCATGGACTAGAAAGAAAATATTGCAGTTTTGATATGCTAAAAAAAAAGTAAAATGTTTCTGAAAATTCAAATTAAAAACATTTTAGTATTAAATTTTAAAGTACCAAATTTAAATAAACCTGTTTTTATCATATACATCACTCATTAGCTACAGTTCCTGAACTGGTTTCACAAAAGTGAAACAATCACATACCTCACAATCCTCTGGTGATTCTAGAAGGCAACATTTGTGCATTGCTGCTTTTAAATTCAGTGGTTCCTTTCCCTGATTCTGAGCTGTTACATCTAAGAAAAACAAGTCTGACTATACTTTTACAAATACTCAAAATTTAATGGTAACTGATAAATGTTTTCATCTCTCTTTTTTAATTATTCTTTTAATTATTCTTTTTTAGAAAATCTGGAATTCATAATTACATTTTAAGATGCAAAATGACAGTACAAGCACTTACAAAATATAAGGCCAGTATCCTCTCTGCCAAAAGGTTTAATCCCAGAATCCTAAAGCAAAAATTGTTACATTAGAATTTATGCACCAGATGTTTATCAACTGGTTTACTGTCATAATCTTGTACAGTGTAGCGATGGTAGTAAGTATGCTGTTAAGTAAACATATTTAAATCAACTCTGAAAATTGGCAATCAAATTTTGTCTTATTTTAGGGTGTACCATTACCTTTCATCAGTGAACTATCATTCTTGCAGATTCTCAATAACAATGCTGAATTAAAATGAATATATATAAACATCTGTATGTTTTCAATAATCTACAACATTTGAAAAAATATGGTTTAATGTACAATGTTTCTTGTTGCATGTTATTCACCTTAATCCTCAATGGGATTTGCTCTTCACATTCACAAGGGCTCATCATAAGTAGACAGAGGCAGATGAGAATACCCTCATATATGAAAGAACGGCTACCCATTTTTGATCTATGCATTTGGCATATATGTACAAATCTTAAAAGAAAAAGAAAAATATTATTATACAGATCTAAGGTGCAATGTATATGTTCTTTTACTGACTAGAAGTTAAAAGATTAATCTGAGTAATAATCTGTTTACTATACCAGTTCAAAGATGATTGGTTAACTAATACAGAGATATTAAATGATTAATCTGAATAATAATCTGTTTACTATACAAAGATGATTGGCTAACTAATACTGAGATATAATTAGTCAAAATAATATATGGTGCACATTTCAAAGCAAAACATTTGAAAGTAAGTCAGGAGTTATTTTCATGTTACAGTACATGCACACCAGATGTTTCTTTTCGAAATTCTGTCGACTTGTCAGTGCTTTAATGACCAGTTAAGTGTATACCTGATGGAGATTGCAATTCAATTGCAAGGAAGCACCTACAAATTACAAAACGTGTAACTTGACTGAACTATAAAAATAAAAGAAACCGGCCAAAAGAGACCCCAGTGTGCTATTACAATTCATCAATACACAGTACAGATACATTAGACTTAAGTGTGTGTCCATGATAAGACCAGTCAGAGGGTGGCAAGGTGGGGGTCAACAGATTTCAACCAAATTCATAATATTGTTGCATATATAGGAGATATTAAGATNTGTTGCTCCGGTGATAATCCTAGTACCCGCCATGTTGAAAACAGGTCACAGAGTTAGCATCGTTATTTTACATTTAGTTTCTACAACATAAACAAATTAAAAAAATGTATTTTCGCTTCATAAGTTCGTCTGCAGGGCAAACATAATTATTTTAAGGGCTTTTCACAAACCTATACATGGCTTTGACCTATTAATTTAGTTGAAGAAACAGTTTAGCATTTAAGTAGTATAAAAATTTTCGTTTTTAGGCCCTTTTTAAAATTGTTATAGTTCTTATTTTACAAGGTTTAACACAGATTTTATTTCACAAAATTTATTTTTCAACCCTGTTCTATCAGCAGATACCAAAATTATATGGATACAACCTGCAAAAAAGAAGTTGTGAGCATTTAAAGAAGGGAAGGGGGTCAAGCATACGGAAAACATGCCTTATTAGAATCAACCTTGTGTGGTCATGACAGTGCCTTTTCAAAAAATCTGTACTGGGTATTAAAGGTCTTTCCTTAACCTATCATGTGGCTTACCTAAATAATTCCTTATGATGTACATGATTTTTTAAAAGAATATTTAAAATAATAACTTTTCAAGAGCTAAAAAATGCTATATTTTGGCAAAATTGCCGATAAAAGATCTGCCCCCATATCTCTAAAACTAATGATCCAAAATAAGAAAGCCAGTGGCTCACAATATCTTTTATGTTGATGGTTTACCACACCAAAAATTATTAAAATCTGCTGACCCCCACCTTGCCGCCTTCTGACTGATCTGTCTGGCTTTCTCATGGACGCGCTCTTAATATAAATCGTCATAAGGAATGCGTAAAACATAAGATACTTCATAATTATGTGTGTATCACGATGAAATGGAATGTTTTGCTGACAACTAAGTGAACTAACTTTGTTAAACAACAGCGTCGTCTGGTCCGTTTCCGGTTACACTGGAACTCCGCATAAACAGTCACGTGATCGTATCAATTTGAAAATCTAAGTTAACATTGTATTTTTGCCTTTTTAAAACCTTTGAAACAGCAGTCTGTATTAAATTTTATTATATTGTCTGAAATTAAAGACAAGTGATTGTTCGAATGTTATTTTCATAGCAAAAAGTAATGGCAGTTGGTTTTAAGTGCAGACCTTGACATAACGAAAATTCAAACTGAGGGTCGGGCAAACAAATCGGTATGTTTAAAAACTACATTAATTCCAACAATATTCGCTTTCAGGGACTGGGTTTGATGTGCTGCTGGAGTCACGAAATAATATTTTCACTACTGAATTATATTTTATAAGAAAAACTTATTTCAGTTACATTAACCGTTGCTTCTCTTCAAAGATGTCAGATTATTGAACTGAATCAGGGGGTGGAAACGCGCTACTTATATGATTATGACGAGCCTAACCGTCAGCACCGGATATTAGTTAGTGACCTTGAGGGGCAATTAGGCTTGGTCTTTGCGGCACGCGCGAACAGTAGTCGATCTACCACACCTGGGTCTTTTGTTTTTGACAACTGTTCACTCGTCAAGGAGGTGCTTGTTCAAGACTACAGACTGATATCTACTAGTACTACCAGTGGCTTCATTAGTAACGTTCCCACAATACATGGTTTTCTGTCTGTGCGTACATACCCTGAATTTGGTTAGCCTCACTGACGAGAACAATGGACGTTTCTTACCCCTCTCTAGGATTACCCCTGACTGAATGAGGAAGCCGATTGTGAAGGGAATTAATTAGTTTATTTGGCCATTCATAAAGGCCATCAACATTAAACATCTGATATTCCTTTTACATTGTCTTTGGAATGAAATTTAACATTGAATAATTTTATAGTAAAATTACTAATAAATGCATGATGAAAATGTATTTTTGATAAAACCCTGGTAGCAAGAATTAACCCACAATTTCTCTCTGTGACAGAACCCAAAAATGAGTGCAAACGTTGCAGAAATATGTGAGAACACCAAGATGGGAAGGGAGTATGCCCTTCTGGGAAATTATGACACTTCACAGGTCTATTATCAAGGCGTAATACAGCAAATACAAAAGCTGCTAACATCAATCAAAGATCCTACAAGAAAGCAGAAGTGGCAACAGGTAAATAAGGATATAATGCATGTCTAAGTCTTTAACATAATTTATGCATATGTGAGTCAGCAATGATTGAACACCTCTTCTTTCAGGCCTTTGATATTAATTTTCAATTGAAAAATTGAATTGATATTAAAAAGATACTGTCATTGCCCTTTTTTTAGTATATGCTCTTCCCTAAACCTTAAAGTACAAATCCTAAAGTACAAACAAGATGGATTTATTGATAATTAACCTATACTTTATCATCTTGTTGCACTTTTTTACATTTTTTAGGTGCGTCAGGAGATTGTAACAGAATATGAACATGTGAGGGATATAAGTAGCACTCTTGCCAGTTTCAAAGCAGATAATGCACGCAGTGAATACAGGTCTCCTCTTGGAGGTTTTCATGAAAATGAGGAGCCAACTAGAGACCCTGATGTGTGGCCACCACCAACACCTGTAGAGCATAGGTAAGTGACATAGAAAAAGCAATGCTATTTGGGTTACATGTTTTGTTTCTCAGTTGAGATATCATTTTGGTGAATTCAAAGTTTAAAAACCTTATTGTTGCAGACTAAAAACAGAGGGATTGATGTTTATTATAAGAAATATAAGTATATTATATATATTGCCTTTATTTTACTTTTTTCTTTTGTGCAGACCTTCCCCTAATATACGTGGAAATAGGCCAGCACCTAGAAGAGAAGCTCCAAAGGCAGCTCCATCTCGAGGTGTCAGCAACAGGCCTGCTCCAGGCCCTGCCCCAAGAAGGGGCCCACCAGCTGGGGGTGACAGGGCCTCTGCTGATCGTCGTGGCAGAGGTGGAGAGAGAGGAAAAGACAAGAAAAAGGTGAGTCAATGTTGTAGTTTCCCAGGATTTCCCAGAAAGTAGAATAAACACCATTTTTTAAAGTTGTGGCATTGCAAGTTAGTATGTAAAAATTAATAATGATGAATCAGACAAGCTAGATACTGAAACTGCCAGTGCACTTTCTTTTGTGGTTATTCTTTATGAAAACCTGCTTGCAGGAAAGATCCAAAGTTGAAAAGAGAGTTAGTAATAATAGAGGGGCAGCTGATAGTCCAATTGATGACCAATCCAGGACTGAGGTATTGTGAAGCACAATTAAGCATGGGATGATTGGAGCTCAATTGAAATCACTGTCTCAAGGATGTTGGGATGTTCTGCTTGTTTTTCCCTTAATACCCCCCCCCTCCTCCCTCTTCCCTCCTTCCTCCCCATAAAATAAATTTTCTATGAGAAGTGGGTTGTTATCATGGTGGTTGATTGGACATTTATCAGTTGGCTATGGGAATGATAATTGTTATAACGTGAATATTACTAATTTTATGGAGAATGCATTTTGATGGGTGTATTATCATATTTAGCATGATAATGTGCTACATTGTATTTGTAATTTCTGTTTAACAAAGGTGACTTTTCCTGTGCTGCTTTGTGCCTACCTAATTTTATTTTCAGGATTTATAATATTGATCTGAACATTCTTACGCCCCTTGTCCCTATCCCTTTACTGTTAATCTTTCTTATCAATTTGATAAATTTAACTATGGTTTTATTATCATGTTGAATGCAAAGTTTCAAAAATGATTCTTTTATGAAATGTTGAATGTATGTAAACATTGCATGTGTTTCTACGTATATATCTGTGTACACTTAATATTAGTTTGACTTGTGTACATTCATTTTGTTAATCTATTACAATTTCAGTGATGTCAATAGATCAACTTTAAATAAGGATGACAAACTGTGTTACAGAATCATTTTAATGACAAGGTGTTTTGATAAGAAAAAAATGTATATTTCAGGAAGGAGAAGAGGAAGAGGAGAAAAAGTTTGATGCTGCAGGTATTGACAAAGACCTGGTGGAAGGGTTGGAGAGAGATGTGGTGCAGAGAAGTCCTAATGTGCACTGGTGAGAATAATTTTTGTTCATCTCAGTTAATACCAATGACAGTATTTCAGTGTTAAGTACAGATTGTGCATAGTAGAATTTCTATTTAACAATATTTGATTGTAACTAAGCAATAATTGGTCCATAATTGAATTAATTTTTGCAGGGATGACATAGCTGGATTAACAGAGGCTAAGGCACTTTTAGAAGAAGCTGTGATACTGCCTTTGTACATGCCAGACTATTTTAAAGGCATAAGAAGGCCATGGAAGGTGATTATTACATGCACAGTAAAAATGGTTTTAATTTATTCGGGATGTTGAAGTTCTGCATATGAATTCAAGTTAATCTAGTTATTCTTTTGCATGTTATCATGCTTACTTTATTGGTACAGTATATATTCATATTGTACATTGCATGCAGTGATGTTTTTACTGAAACATTTAGTAGTAAATTATTCTGAAGATTCTACTGATAATTGCACAATTGGGTTGCAAGAGGGTCTTCTTGTTATTAATAATTATTTATTAATAGAAAAAATCTTTTTGTGTAAATGTTTGTATCCATGAGCCAAATTTGAATTGCTTTTCAATTTTTTTAAGATATAAAGGTTGATACCCCTCTAAAATTTTTTATTTTGCACATTTAGAAGTTGTTTTATGTTTGCTGTTATAGTCCTGGTATTGGAACTAAGGTGGAGGTGACTTTTTATTTGCTTTTTCTCTTTTTTCCCCTTTTCAATTTCCATTGTTATTAATTCCCTTTAGTAATTTTGGAATATTTGGATTTCAGTAAGTTTGGGCCCCTATAATTCATTACCTGTCTTCCTTTTTTCCCTTTTAGCTGTTGACTTTCATCCATACTTTATGCCAAGTACACTTCTTTCCAGATCTTTTTTTAATAAAACTTTTAAATGGGACTACAACCACCAAGAGCTTGGTGTTCCCAACTTCTGCCTAACTGCTTAGTAATTGATCTTTTTTTTAAACCAGACCTATTCTTTTGCAGTTGAACTGATTGTGTTAGTTACTTTAGTCCTATAAAATAGATTTAAGGGCAGTTGCAATGTTGCAAAGCATAATGTGATATTGTTTTGCCTCATCTTGAATGACTAAGCCAGGGCTCTGTATTTTAGGGCGTCCTCATGGTTGGTCCTCCTGGCACAGGCAAGACCTTGCTGGCCAAGGCTGTTGCTACTGAGTGTGGCACAACTTTCTTCAATGTGTCCACCTCAACTCTAGGTTCCAAATACCGCGGAGAGTCTGAGAAACTTGTTCGCCTACTGTTTGAAATGGTGAGTGCCTTACACTCTATGCAAGTGCAGTAGTTTTATACGAAAGTCTTGTATTTTGGACTATTAGGGTGTTTGCATGGTTGGGCCGCCAGGGACGGGAAAAACACTGTTGGCTAAAGCAGTGGCCACAGAATGTGGAACAACTTTCTTCAATGTATCAACGTCCACTCTTGGCTCAAAATATCATGGGGAATCTGAAAAGCTGGTTCGTCTTCTCTTTGAGATGGTATGTATTTAAATATTATGAATGGTCCTTTGTTAGGTATTTAATCTTAAAGAAATTTTTTAATGTCATCTAATTGGGATAATAAGTTTGGTTCCAAATATTATGAAAACAGTATTAATAACTTGCGTGCACATTTTACGTTTTTTTCAGGCTCGTTTCTATGCACCAAGCACGGTCTTCATTGATGAAATTGATTCACTTTGCTCAAAACGTGGCAGTGATTCTGAACATGAAGCCAGTAGGCGTGTCAAGTCAGAGTTGCTAGTCCAAATGGATGGTAGGTTGATATGTTTATCCAGAATTGGAAATTACCTTCGGGAGAAGGAAATATCTTAATTCTTTGAAACCAATTTTTAATTTGTGAAAATTGAGAAAACTATGTGAAACATATGTCATTTATGATATGCAGCCATAAAGGTTGGAGAATGATAAATTTTAGCATGGGCTCTACACAGTTGACTAGTTTTCCAGACTCTGGCTTTGTTTAATACTCATAATATAAGTTTTCATGAACTTCAGTGTGTGAAAAGCAATTCTCAACCATATATTAATAATACATCACTGCCATCATACATATTGATAAAATATCCACTTTTAGGTGTGACTGGAGCACTTGGCTCAGAGGAAGCAGGCAAAAGTGTTATTGTCCTTGGAGCCACCAACTTTCCTTGGGATATTGATGAAGCCTTGAGGAGAAGATTGGAGAAAAGAATTTACATTCCTCTTCCAGAGAGTAAGTTATGACTTGAAGCAAAGTGGTGGAAAGTATAATGATAATAATAATATTTTTTGTTCTGATTAGATATATAAAGGGGGGGGGGGGAGATGTTTAAGTTAAGGAATGTACCAAACATGAATTTCAAACACTATTCTAAAGTGTTGCCTTTTTGTTTTATTTTGTTTTAAGCAATTCATTCTTGATCAAAACCATTCTTGCATATTAAAGGTTTTCATTGTATTTCTCGGTATAGCTGAAGGTAGGAGACAGCTGTTGAACATCAATCTCAAAGAAATGGATCTGGCTCCTGATGTTGACTTAGATGTCATTACAGAGAAGTTAGAAGGCTACTCAGGAGCTGATATAACAAATGTTTGCAGGTAAGATTTAGAACTGTGTGAAATTAAATGTAATGTCTCCAGTTTAAAAATAGTGAAAAAAAGTTTGATTTTTCAGAATTACTGATCAGTTTTGAGAAAATTTAAAGGTTATCATAATTGTGTAAAACCTCATCCCCAGATTAATAAATTTTGATCCGAACTTTTCCAAGGTCTTGTTGCTCAAAGTAACCAGTGGGCTAAAAATTTAAAAGGGCAAACTGATATACTACAATAATTTTATTTCAACACAAAGGGTAAAAAAAGGTATTGTATTTTTGCTCTGTTTATATCTCAATTCACGTTTTTAACCTTCCTTTTAGGGATGCATCATTTATGTCCATGAGGCGCTTGAGAAATCGCGGTCTGACACCAGAGCAGATCAGGAACTTGCCTAAGGATCAACTCAACCAGCCTTGCACCATGGCTGACTTTGAAGAGGCCTTAAGAAAAGTCTCCAAGTCTGTTTCTAAAGATGATCTTAAAAAGTACGAGGATTGGATGAACGAGTTTGGTTCTACCTAAGGATAAGACTCTACTGCCCAATTCATTATTATACTTAATGGTATTCTTTTTGTGTCAAAAAGAAGAAACCAATATATCATGGTTTGCATTAAAAAAGGACTTATTAATAAGTGGTATGTAAATTTCTGTGGAAAAAGTTCACTTATATATTGTAGTACTTCCGTGGGTGTAAAGATAGATTTTAATAAATCAGTATTATCTTTATTTAACATGTATATGCAATGAGATCATGTACAGTGTTTATTATTTATAGAAGGGATTGCATAAATATATTGGATGCACCCTTGTACTGTTCGATTTGGATTATAATCAAGGAAGAGAATTGTTATATTGTTAGATTTTAAGCCTCTGTTGTGTATACATCAGCATGTATTTGTGTTGAACGAGTGTGAAAATAATGGTTGTGAAAAGTAACCTCTATTGGACATGTCTGATGAAAATTGAATTCTCAGTTTGTAATCTGGAGATAAGTTGCATCCAGTGAAGAAACCAACAAATTATTTCCACAAATTTCAGAATTTAATTTAATTGGTACTGTACCTTGTTATTAAAAGAAACTCCCTTTGTTACCAGTAGTGTCTTTAATAAGATAGCACTGTTTGCTGTGTATTTGAAAGTGTATTACCTTTTAAAACTTGATTAAATACTGCAGAGCTGTTATTGAAAATGCGACTTCTTGTTTTTGACTTTGTGATGTAAAATCAGTCTATGCTAGTAAAAGCAATCTATGTCGTTCTGTATGTGGACTTGCAGAAGATCTTCCCACCATTTTGCAAAAATACTGATGATAGCTGTAAGTACCCCCCCCCCCATAAATAATTGTTTTTAAAAAAATCTTGAAAATCCTTTGATTACTGTGAAAAAAAATTATAAAACCGTAAACTTTCAATGAAAATGTCACAACAAAATTTATATTTAGAGATTTGCTTAAACACGAACACCTACAATATCTAGCAATTGCTTGCTATTTCCCACCTAGCACAATGGCAGGATAAAACCCACCACTGGTTACACCGGCGTGTGGTATTTATGTCCATATTGTTTGGCTTTTAAGCAGCTTATTTCACAAAAAGCAATATATTTTCAAATTTAAAGTAAAAGATGTGCGCATTTTTGATGTATTAAATGTCATTTATTCGTTTTGTGTACTAATAAAATAATACACATGCTGGCAATGCCTGTGACAGAGCATGCAGATGACCTTAACCCTAAATAACATCAACAACAACATGGCAGCTATCACGCACAAAGCTTTGAAAAGCACCGGCAGAATTTTCGCAAATTTGGCTATTGTAAGGGGGAAATATCTGAAACAAACCCCCAGGAGATTTAGTAGTTTTCCCCAAGAAGCCGTTGCCATCCAATACAGGCAGCATGGAGACCCAGTTAAAGTGCTGTTTTGGTCTGAAGTTCAATTGAGGAAACCCGAACAAGGAGAGGTGATGATCAAAATGTTAGCCGCTCCAATAAACCCAATAGATATATACATGATACGCGGTACGTATCCACTTAAAACAGAATTACCACACACTGCTGGTATTGAGGGTGTGGCTGAAGTGATTGAAGTCGGTGAAGATGTATCAGCATTAAAGAAAGGGGATTGGGTCATCCCTGCCAAAGGCGGGCTAGGGACATGGTGTACTCACAGTGTATGTGCGGCAGAGGATCTCACGTCGGTTTCCAGGAAAATCCCACTTCTTAGTGCAGCTACACTTGCCATGAGCCCATGTGTGGCTTACCGCATGCTTACTGATTTCGCAGACCTCAAAGAAGGTGATTACATCATTCAAAATGGTGCTAACAGCTCCGTAGGCCAAGCAGTGATACAGATTGCTGCTGCTCGTGGTATTAGGACGATTAACATTGTAAGGCATATGCCAGCTGATGATCGCAGGATAAAATACCTCCAGGATATTGGTGGAACTCACGTCCTCACTGAGGAGTTCTTGCGATCTGGTCAGATGAAGGAATTCATGACCAGCCTTGGAAGGCCAACACCTTCACTCGCTCTGAATGGTGTGGGAGGGCCCTCAGCTACAGAAATGTTACGCTACTTGGCACCTGGTTCAAATGTTGTTACATACGGGGGTATGTCCACTCAGCCAGTTATCATACCCTCTGGCAAGCTTATTTTCAAAGATCTCCACTTTCATGGAATCTGGATGATGGATTGGAATCAGAAGCATTATGCAGACTCCAAGCAAAAGCGTCAGATGTACGATGAACTTGTTGACTTGTCAGTCCAGAAGAAACTGCGTCCACCTTTCTGTGAGCTTGTTCCAATTTCAGACTTTTGTGAGGCAGTTGAAATAGCAGTTGCTCCATTCAAATCTGCAAAGCAGATCTTTGTCATGGATCAGGAACTGCTTAAAAAGTTGAATGAAACTAAGATGATGCAGTCTGACAATGTTATAAGAGAGGAAGTGGAAAAGGACATGCTTTAAGAACTGGGCCAGCTTTTGCTTCATGCAATACCTAAATCTCATCATGTTTACAAAACAATGAAAATTTGATTTTCAGGGCAATTTTAAAATTACATGTTGTTTGTAAAGACACTAACTGTTGTAAATTGCAGCATTGCAAGATGCATTTTTATAATATGCAGTGTACTGCATAATTGCATCAAACAAATTTTACAGTAGTATAAAAATAGATTAAAATGAGTGCAGCCCTTTCTGTATTTTATGTAGTTGGTGTTAATTTAAAAATTGTGTGTGATATCAGTTTGAATTAATTTTTGACTTTTTATTTACCAAATGCAATACATTAAAAACGTACAAGTGGCATAATCTGTATATGGGCAATTCCTTTGTTATTTTGTGATGCTTCTGGTTACATATTTTGGTATGCCAGTTATGCTTTTGAGTATATTTGTATATTGAAGCTGCATGGTCATGAAATGACCCTAATTGTAATCTCATTTAAGCTTGCTAAATGTACGTGACTTATTTAAAAACTATTTGAGAGCCATTTCTCCAATTTGATCTCTTATGTAGATGATTAGAAATTGGGTGACTACATATTCAGTCTGAATGCCAGATAGCCATGTGCAAGTGAGTGGAATTTTATACTCAATTACTCAGTCTGTTGACAAAGTCACAGATGGAAAGAAACTTATCAAGATGCAATGTGTTGCAGCACAGTGATAATGAAAGTTTAGGGTCAAGATTTTTTTTATAGGGAGAGAGAGGAATGCTTATATTGGCATCAGGTTAGGACTGAGGAAGTTATTATTTCATGTCAGGTTCTGTGTTAAATCTTTTTGTTACATTTTGTTGTTTTCATTTCTGATTTGTTCATTGTTATGAATCAATCTCAAATCAAGATACCAGTAGGTTTTGTCGTTTTTAGGCCACTTATTTCATAGTAAAAGATAAAGACAGCCAGTTTTCAAGGGGTAGGGTGTGGACTCCCAAACCAAAAGCATGTTCAGGGGACTGGTGAGTCCTGGTATTTTTTTTAAATATATATATATGTAATGACAGGAAGTACATATCTTGGTTTCCTTTTCTTAAATGTGACCATACAATATGTCCTAGGTGCTGAGCTATTAAATGCCCTATTTAGTGTGCATATTGGGGGCCTTCTGATGCAAAATTGGGACATGCAATAGATACACTCATACCTTATTTTTATGGATACATTTTCTTGCTTGGATATAACTGGGTAAAATCAACATCAAAATAGTTATAGTAAACTTCAGAGACTTTTAAATTTTGGAAACATCTGATTTCCTGTAAATACCAAGATGTATGATAAAGTACATAATGTAATGAAAGACTCCAAATATGGAGGAAAAAACTTCAAAAGAAGAGACGTGTAAAACAGCATTGCAAATTGCATGATAAAGTTACCATTGGTAATGTAATTTATGTTGATATTGCACAATAAAGTTACAAAAAGTTACAATAAGTTTAAGTGTATTAAACATTTTCATTTAGAGGGCATCTTTTTAATGAAGATGTATAGATGACAAAGCTGTGAATATTTCCATTAATTCTGTATACTTTGGGAATTACTTAAGAAGAAATGTCATCTATGACCCAGTTGAGTGTTCCATTCACAGCTCCATTAAAATCAATGTATTTTTCATGAGAAAATTTTCAAAGCCACCAAGTTAGATCTTTCGTCAACACTAACTTGAGGGATTTGCAGATTTTTATTTTAACTGATTTTATTAAACTAAGTTGGTTAAATCTAGCGTCTAAAGAAAAGTAAAATATAACCAGATCCAGGTTAAAAACTAGGAGGTCAGCTAGTATGTCTGTACAATTACATCTTACTAAAGACACGTTGTGCCGCTATGACGCATGATTGTGCTTGCTGTGACAGAGGCAGTCGTGAATGACGTTGCAATTTGTCGTCCATTCATTGGTCGAGAATGACCTCATCGTCCTTGAATGGTGAATGACCTAATCTGAGCAGATTTGTGTCAAGAGGGTTTTTCCTAGCTAAATTTACCCCCTATCAACTGGTGTCAGATTACAGGGGCCGAGTGGAAGACATTTTCAAAAAAGAGGATCGACGGAGAGAGAATTACGCTGTTCTATAAGGTAGGATTTCATATATTAGGGTGAATATCTGCGGTTTTATCGATTGAATGCCAGCTGTTTGAAATCACTTGTTGAACTGCAACCGGGGAAACTGTCTACATAGTCAACTTTGGAAGTAAATTCAGAGGCTGGATATTGCGTAATTTCTAAGAGAATAAATCTTTGCCCCATTATAGTACTATTAAATTATATTTATTTGTACTCAAGTTTACTAATGTAATACTTCACTTATTAACAACGTTATCTTATGGCTCTACACACGCTTTGGTAATTTCTGATTGCCCACTTCCTCAAGCTTGAGGCCAAGTTGAATGGCGGAGTACATGTATGTAATAATATCATGAAAAATATCTAATACGTGTACAGTCCATCTGTTGCAGCAGATTTGAAACATTATTGTGGAGGATCAGTGTTTTGTGTCCATTTAAGTTTATTTCCTAGAGGTAGTTGACACCAGGTCCATTTGCGTGAACAAAGTTTTTGAAATGAAATTTAGGTTAAATTCTATCCGATATACATTGTCTGGACAAACGTTTATTTTACAGACCTGATAACACCTATATGTTGGGTTTTAAACAGCAGAAATGATGGGTAAAATGAAGGTTTTGCTCATTATAAGACCTTCCCGAGAGTTGTACAAAAATTTCAGCAAAATTAAACAATGAAAAGATTATATGTTACTTTTATATTTTTAGATGTGATGTCATCTGTTATGTGTTCACTGTGCTATTGTGCCATGTGGTATAGATCCCAGGGTAGCAACGATAATGAAGACTTTGATATGTACAGTGCAGATTAGTTTGTTAAAACTGCATGCACATTGGCAGAAGATAAAGCCATGGTACTGAGTGTTGCTTAACAAGGGTTAAAATATAGAAAATCATATCATCAGCAAAAGAATAGCTGTGAACGTAGTTGTAAAATTATGCAATAGACTAAAAACTTACTTAAATCTGACCTTCAACCCAAGACCTCCAAAATACTTTCATTAAACAAGCTCTCTAAATCCTAAATCATGTTGTCTCAAGTTAGTTTGTTTTAACTTATATAATCATCCCTCCCAATTGCACAAGATGAAGGTGGCTATTAAATGCCTTGTCATTATTTGCTGCAAGTTAGTCATATATCCTCGATACATAGACAGTGTCCACTAGACGCCAGTGTTAAGAGCATCAGTGAAGTGATTTCATATAGGGATGAACACCTAAACAGAAAGGAATGCAATGTGTCAAATTATTAGGAAAGAATCACAGATTGATAAGATGATAAGGTGCACCCATATTAGTCAAGGAGACTGGTTAAATGAGGCTAGATTTAAATTCTATGCTGATGCTGTATTATAATATATATGAGAGGCATTGTGGCTGACAGAGCTCTGGCCATTTTCTTAATTTGGCAAGCAGTTTTTATATTTTGGTAATATAGATGAATGCTTTAAGATGCAAAGATTATTTTCATGAAATTTGATTTTTTTTTTTTCCAATAAAAGTTACAGCATATAAGATATTGAAAAACTCAGTGCTTAAGTGATTTAACGAAATGTTTGCATATTTTGAACTTAAAAAATTATGTCCTTATATAAAAAAAATAATATGACAATGTAATTATTAGGAATCCTGGGGTCTTCATTTTTTGAAAGATTGTTTTTTGTTTGTCTTTAATTTGTTATATAGAACAAACAATTCAGTTACCAGTAAGATTTTTAATTTGTTGCAATGACAAAATTGTCAAACAGTATTAGTTTATCACAAATGACACCTTTACCAACACAGCAAAGTGGACCAAACTATTTTTCTGCTTGACCCCTAATGTATTCATGCATGTGTGTATGTAGTGAAGTAGATGGATACTGGGCAGCTTGGCAAAAAAGCCTGATGATTCATTTATCTTACCTTTATGGTATGAATACAGGCAGTTTGCTATTGGATGTTTGCAATAGGTGTGTTATATTCGAAAGCAGAAATACTTCAGTCGGTTGACCCATGTGTGTGTGTTCTATATTTAAAGAGTTGAACCCAGTGTACTGTACTTGGTGTTAAAAGTGGGATAATAAGGTTTTCTAGGGGAATAATACTCGCACTGATGTCTTCAGGTAAATTTATAAATGAGATATATAAATTAGTTCTTTCATGCTTTATTATAAAGCTATAATTACATTTATACAGAATATTTTACCAGAGCCATCTGTAAATTTTATGTGAATTTTGAATTCAAATTTTATATATCCCCAAATATGCGTTAAAACACTTTGTGCAATTTTTTGTATCATTACTCTTTTACACATATTTATTTTTATTTATTTTGTTTTATTATTATTTTTTATTAGCCTCACAAATTTGATGTATTTTCAAATTGTTATCAGAAAAAAAAAGAAAATTGAGATAATTCCATACCAGCATGATGCTGCTCCCATTTGGATGAGGGAGATTAAAATGTTTATTATTATTATCATCATTTTATGTAACATTGATATTGATGTAATGTTATGTGATAAGTCTAAAATCATGATAATGGCAAAATGTTTTGATTATATTGATTGTTAACAGAAACATACTGTGCTTAATTTTGAATTGTTTTAGATGAAAGGAGTTAAAATTGTATATTTTTCAACGGTGCTTTCTATAAATATCATAACAAAAGAATATATTTTAAATACAAATGTTGCTTTTCCTTTTCAAAATTGACATTTCCATAGATTTAAGCAGATTGTTCAAGGCAAGAGAAAGCCCAGGAAATATGCAGCAGCTTAGTTTCATTAAATTTTGCTTAGCCTCTGGGAAATCAATAGCCCGTTTTCATGGAATTCCCTTTGAGGATTCATATTTTGACAGCTATTTGTCAGCATCAAACCTTTGATAAATTGTGACAGTTTACAATAACTGTTGCCTTTTTAAGAAATCACACATTTTTTTTCTGACATCTTCTGATTATACCATTTGATCATGTTGCAGATATGACAAAGACTTTTTCTCAAAGACTAATTTACTCCATGGTGCCTCATAGAATTGTCATATACTTCAGATACCTCATTTTAAATTTTCTAAACCCATTAATAGGTTCCAGTAGAACGATTCTGTAAAAAGTGGTTCCAAATTTGCTGTTATGTTATTAGTTTCTGCCTTTAGTCTTAAGTGTTTAATTTGTCTTTACCCCTAATGATGCATTTCTTGTTTAAGTCAAGTTTGGTCAAGTATTATAATTCAGCAGTTGGGTCACAGTGCTGAAATTTCCTCAGATTTGGAGGAGCACTCAGCAAAAGAACAGTGTCTCAGTTACCCATGGGTCAAGAGGAACATTTTCTACATAACTTACTACACTTGTGATGAAGATAATGCTTTTTTCATATGTCATAACCAATTGAAATAATATTGTTTTACCCCATGAATGTAGCATATTTGATATGTTCTGTATATCAATAATTTGCCAAGAATGTTAAATAAATTATAGACATGAGGTTTCCTGGATGACTCATCTTCGCAGTTAGTGTGTATATACCAGCGNGGGGCTAGTTCTCTTCTTTGGTCGGTGACCCTCAATTTTCTTTGCAAATTTTTAATGTACTTGGGTGTCTCTTCAAACAAAAAAAATTTTTTTAAAAATTCGAACGTTGGAACATGTAACGACCGATCTACCTTAAGAAGAAATGTCATCTTTGACCCAGTTGAATGTTCTATTCACAGCGTCAATGTATTTTTCATGAGAAAATTTTCAAAGCCACCAAGTTAGATCTTTCGTCAGCACTAACTTGAGGGTTTTGCAGATTTTTATTTTAACTGATTTTATGAAACTAAGTTGGCTAAATCTAGAGTCTAAAGAAAAGTAAAATATAACCAGATACAAGTTAACAGCTAGGAGGTCAGCTAGTATGTGTGTACGTCTTACTAAAGACACGTTGTGCCGCTATGACGCATGATTGTGCTTGCTGTGACAGAGGCAGTCGTGAATGACGTTGCAATTTGTCGTCCATTCATTGGTCGAGAATGACCTCATCGTCCTTGAATGGTGAATGACCTAATCTGAGCAGATTTGTGTCAAGAGGGTTTTTCCTAGCTAAATTTACCCCCTATCAACTGGTGTCAGATTACAGGGGCCGAGTGGAAGACATTTTCAAAAAAGAGGTTCGACGGAGAGAGAATTACGCTGTTCTATAAGGTAGGATTTTTCATATATTAGGGTGAATATCTGCGGTTTTATCGATTGAATGCCAGCTGTTTGAAATCACTTGTTGAACTGCAACCGGGGAAACTGTCTACATAGTCAACTTTGGAAGTAAATTCAGAGGCTGGATATTGCGTAATTTCTAAGAGAATTAATTCTTCACCCCATTATAGTACTATTAAATTATATTTATTTGTACTAAAGTTTACTAATGTAATACTTCACTTATTAACAACGTTATCTTATGGCTCTACACACGCTTTGGTAATTTCTGATTGCCCACTTCCTCAAGCTTGAGGCCAAGTTGAATGGCGGAGTACATGTATGTAATAATATCATGAAAAATATCTAATACGTGTACAGTCCATCTGTTGCAGCAGATTTGAAACATTATTGTGAAGGATCAGTGTTTTGTGTCCATTTAAGTTTATTTCCTAGCAGTAATTGACACCAGGGCCGTTTGCGTGAACAAAGTTTTTGAAATGAAATTTAGGTTAAATTCTATCCGATATACATTGTATGGACAAACGTTTATTTTACAGACCTGATAACACCTATATGTTGGGTTTTAAACAGCAGAAATGATGGGTAAAATGAAGGTTTTGCTCATTATAAGACCTTCCCGAAAGTTGTACAAAAATTTCAGCAAAATTAAACAATGAAAAGATTATGTTACTTTTATATTTTTAGATGTGATGTCATCTGTTATGTGTTCACTGTGCTATTGTGCCATGTGGTATAGATCCCAGGGTAGCAACGATAATGAAGACTTTGATATGTACAGTGCAGATTAGTTTGTTAAAACTGCATGCACATTGGCAGAAGATAAAGCCATGGTACTGTGTGTCGTTTAACAAGGGTTAAAATATAGAAAATCATATCATCAGCAAAAGAATAGCTGTGAACGTAGTTGTAAAAGCTGTAAAATTATGCAATAACTAAAAACTAGACTAAAAACTTACTTAAATCTGACCTTCAACCCAAGACCTCCAAAATACTTCCATTAAACAAGCTCTCTAAATCCTAAATCTCAAGTTAGTTTGTTTTAGCTTATATAATTATCTCTCCCAATTGCACAAGATGAAGGTGGCTATTAAATGCCTTGTCATTATTTGCTGCAAGTTAGTCATATATCCTTGGTACATAGACAGTGTCCACTGGACGCCAGTGTTAAGAGCTTCAGTGAAGTGATTTCATAAAGGGATGAACACCTAAACAGAAAGGAATGCAATGTGTCAAATTATTAGGAAAGAATCACAGATTGATAAAGATGATAAGGTGCACCCATATTAGTCAAGGAGACTGGTTAAATGAGGCTAGATTTAAATTCAATGCTGATGCTTTATTACAATATATATGCGAGGCATTGTGGCTGACAGAGCTCTGGCCATTTTCTTAATTTGGCAAGCAGTTTTTATATTTTGGTAATGTAGATGAATGCTCTAAGATGCAAAGATTATTTTCATGAAATTTAATTTTTTTTCCAATAAAAGTTACAGCATATAAGATATTGAAAAACTCATGTTTGCATATTTTGAACTTAAAAAATTATGTCCTTATATAAAAAAATAATATGACAATGTAATTATTAGGAATCCTGGGATCTTCATTTTTTGAAAGATTGTTTTTTGTTTGTCTTTAATATGTTATCTAGAACAAACAATTCAGTTACCAGTAAGATTTTTAATTTGTTGCAATGACAAAATTGTCAAACAGTATTAGTTTATCACAAATGACACCTTTACCAACACAGCAAAGTGGACCAAACTATTTTTCTGCTTGACCCCTAATGTATTCATGCATGTGTGTATGTAGTGAAGTAGATGGATACTGGGCAGCTTGGCAAAAAAGCCTGATGATTCATTTATCTTACCTTTATGGTATGAATACAGGCAGTTTGCTATTGGATGTTTGCAATAGGTGTGTTATATTCGAAAGCAGAAATACTTCAGTCGGTTGACCCATGTGTGTGTTCTATATTTAAAGAGTTGAACCCAGTGTACTGCACTTGGTGTTAAAAGAGGGATAATTAAGTTTTCTAGGGGAATAATACTCGCACTGATGTCTTCAGGTAAATTTACAAATGAGATATATAAATTAGTTCTTTCATGCTTTATTATAAAGCTATAATTACATTTATACAGAATATTTTACCAGAGCCATCTGTAAATTTTATGTGAATTTTGAATTCAAATTTTATATATCCCCAAATATGCGTTAAAACACTTTGTGCAATTTTTTGTATCATTACTCTTTTACACAAATTTATTTTTATTTATTTTGTTTTATTATTATTTTTTTATTAGCCTCACAAATTTGATGTATTTTCAAATTGTTATCAGAAAAAAAAAGAAAATCGAGATAATTCCATACCAGCATGATGCTGCTCCCATTTGGATGAGGCAGATTAAAATGTTTATTATTATTATTATCATCATTTTACGTAACGTTGATAATGATGTAATGTTATGTGATAAGTCTAAAATCATGATAATGCCAAAATGTTTTGATTATAAATATGGATTGTTAACAGAAACATACTGTGCTTAATTTTGAATTGTTTTAGATGAAAGGAGTTAAAATTGTATATTATACAACGGTGCTTTCTGTAAATATCATAACAAAAGAATATATTTTAAACACAAATGTTGCTTTTCCTTTTCAAAATTGACATTTCCATAGATTTAAGCAGATTGTTCAAGGCAAGAGAAAGCCCAGGAAATATGCAGCAGCTTAGTTTCATTAAATTTTGCTTAGCCTCTGGGAAATCAATAGCCCGTTTTCATGGAATTCCCTTTGAGGATTCATATTTTGACAGCTATTTGTCAGCATCAAACCTTTGATAAATAGTGACAGTTTACAATAACTGTTGCCTTTTTAAGAAATCACACATTTTTTTTCTGACATCTTCTGATTATACCATTTGATCATGTTGCAGATATGACAAAGACTACTTCTCAAAGACTAATTTACTCCATGGTGCTTCATAGAATTGTCATATACTTCAGATACCTCATTAAAAATTTTCTGAACCCATCAATAGGTTCCAGTGGAACGATTCTGTAACAGTGTTACCACCATCACAAAAATGGTTCCAAATTTGCTGTTATGTTATTATTTTCTGCCTTTAGTCTTAAGTGTTTAATTTGTCTTTACCCCTAATGATGCATTTCTTGTTTAAGTCAAGTTTGGTCAAGTATTATAATTCAGCAGTTGGGTCACAGTGCTGAAATTTCCTCAGATTTGGAGGAGCACTCAGCAAAAGAACAGTGTCTCAGTTACCCATGGGTCAAGAGGAACATTTTCTACATAACTTACTACACTTGTGATGAAGATAATGCTTTTTTCATATGTCATAACCAATTGAAATAATATTGTTTTACCCCATGAATGTAGCATATTTGATATGTTCTGTATATCAATAATTTGCCAAGAATGTTAAATAAATTATAGACATGAGGTTTCCTGGATGACTCATCTTCGCAGTTAGTGTGTATATACCAGTGTCAGCACTGGTAAAGTTAATGTCAGTTGGTTGCATAAAGCTTGGTTTTTTTTTCTCCTTGCAACAGGGAAGGGCCTTTTTTAGGAGAAGAGACCAGTATTTGTATTTAATTTATGTGGGTGTATTGTAATAAAATGTCAAATTCGAACGAATGTTACTTACATGTGCAAATGGTTTTAAAATGCAATTGTGAATTAAAGCAGTTGCAACTGATGTCTGAGTTACAGCATTTTAGCAGTGGTTTTGCACAAATCGGTGCCACAGTTTTTCAATGGCATTTTGACTTAAAGTTAAATGAAAACAAAATGGCCAAAGTGATGGTTAGATATATCTGTCTTTTTTCTTATGTTATTTGATATATTTGTTTCTTTTTTTGGTCATTATTTTTGCATTTTTATACTGATGTGCATTAGAAAATTTATACAAATTTGAGTTTTTAAGTTTTGCAAATTTAGACCCTTCTATTCTAAAAGAATGAAAAATAAAGAAGGGAAATCGGTGTGTATTTTGGAATGAATGGAATTAAGAATAAAGCAAACCAACTACACATGCAAACTCTCCCCATTTGTCTATTTACAATCTGTGCACTTTGTTAGACCTTAGGTTAACCAAAAGGTAAACTCAACTCTGTCCTTCTTTTGAAGTGTTGTTAACTAACTGCTTGCTGAAAGGGTTATGCTAGTAATTGATGGAATTTGTTGAAAAAAGTGTATCCCCAGCTTTAAATTGTCCTGTGACACAAGCACAAGATTCTCCCATTTTGTAACTAATCTAATGAAAATTCATTGTTATAATAATAATTATTATTATTACCAATATTTACTAATTAGCATTTATTTTTTGGTTGAATATAGTGGCAGTGATCCCAGAAGCCAAGTCTCCCATGATGTTTTGAGGAAAAGGAAACACATCCACCTATTCCAGTGATGAACTAGGTTTCACAACTTCTTGTAAAGACACAGGTTGTTCAAGTCAGCAACAGAAATAGCCCAGTGCCATAGAAAGACACCGAGAGAAATAACAGCCACCTTCAACCTTACTGAAACGAATGAAATGACACAAGATGGGGCATGCCACCTACCACAATGGGGACTGGAAGAGTGAGGGATTAGACTGGGTTTTGAATAGTAAGTTTGGGTTACGACTGCTGTCATTCTGTGTTATCTTGGTTTTTTTAATACTAAGTAAATGAGTAAATAAGCCTACCTTAAGCAAATGTCTGAATCACTGGTTGTTCAGTGTGGTATTTGTAGTTTACTCTGAAAAACATTTACCAAAGGTTTATAATAATTGCCATTTTATTTAAAAAGTGACAAAGTATACTTGTGCCTGCCATAGCAGATCTGTGTGTATAGTGGTTTTATGCTTATTTTTTTTTTAGATTTTTTTTTTGTCAAAAAAGTACGCATATTTTGCTTGGTGATGGTATTCTTGTTTTACTGTTATACCCAATGACATATCATGTTGGCTTCAATATCTGTTATCTTTTAATGCAGAAGTAAAAGTGCTCAGTTTCAGCTCACTCCATCACTCTCTTAAATTAGTCNTGAAAAACATTTACCAAAGGTTTATAATAATTGCCATTTTATTTAAAAAGTGACAAAGTATACTTGTGCCTGCCATAGCAGATCTGTGTGTATAGTGGTTTTATGCTTTTTTTTTTTTTTTTAGATTTTTTTTTTGTCAAAAAAGTACGCATATTTTGCTTGGTGATGGTATTCTTGTTTTACTGTTATACCCAATGACATATCATGTTGGCTTCAATATCTGTTATCTTTTAATGCAGAAGTAAAAGTGCTCAGTTTCAGCTCACTCCATCACTCTCTTAAATTAGTCGCTGGTACTAACTTTCATTTCTTATACTCCATGTGATCATTAAACTTGGATCAATACCTTTAATGATTGCACACCTAGACCTTACATGTATTGACTAAGTAAAACCATTATTGATTTAAACACAAAATTATCTCTCCTCTCCTTTACTGATATTAATGTGTCGTTTACGTGCATGTTGAAAACTGCGCTTGGCTAGAAATTGTCCCTAGGGCTGTGGTTCACCCACCTCCCAAGTCTGTGTAGTATATCATTCAAAAGTTGTGAATTACTGTTGTATTGCATTGTGTATTTTCTTTTCACTTGACAATATGTATCTGTAAATGTACAGTTTATTTTACAAAAAGTAAGTATTAGAACCAAAATTTATAGCTGTCAGCAATTGACATGAACAGTGTTGGAATGCCTATGACAGTTTTATTTTTGCATTTTGATACATAAGTATGAATTTAATGAATAACATGTATTTCTTGAACCACTTACAGTGATACTGGAAATTACAGACAAGCTAATTTATCACTGTAAGAGGGGAAGGAAGAATAAAATTCTGCCAAACACTTGAATTTTTTCAAATTTGATATATATATTTTGTAAGGAAATAATAGCAGCCTTCTGTTCTTTCATCTTCCAGGCTGATAGAAAGAGAGAGAAACCACTACATAATAATGAGTGTCCCACAGAAAAAACACATATGGGAGATGGCTACAGTACAGGAACTGGTGCAGCTTATACACAGTGACATGGAAAAGGTAAGGAGTACCAGAATTTGGGTTTCCTCACAGTTTTACTCATTCAGATTGAACTGTACATGGCCGAAGCCTAGGACAATAGATAATAGAGGATCAGTTGGAAAGAATGTCTTCATTTACACTAGTCAAATTGTAAAAAAAGATTTGCTTGACAATTTTAACATCAAATATTCTTGTCATTGGTTCAGGCCTGTGAAAAACCTCCAAACTGTCTTTACAAATCTGTAAAATTTTTAGGGCAGTGAAAAATGTGATTAGCTTTGTATAAATTTGCAACTCTCATTTTTCTATGCAAGTTTACATAGACAGCCTGATATTATAGTAGAAATGTTTTAGAGAGTGTAAATTTTTGGGGTATGAACCATTGTTTAGTTTTCACATAACACAGTTGTCATAATCACTAACTGAGACACATTCTCCACTATTATCTACAAGCATAAGTGGAATAGAAATAGAAAGATGAAAAAAGGTATATATGCAGTAAAAATGACATTGTTTCCTACTGGCCAAAACAGAGATGGCAGTGCAGGATCAGTAATATAAAAAGACTTGCCACGCAGTTTGATCAATTTTAGGAATCTCTTTTTAATCAAGGGCAGAGGGGATTATATCACAGAAACTAAAGCCACATTCGGAATATGAACAAATAACTGGGCAAAAAGTAAATCGAAAACAAGGTACTGTCTAAGCAAGGGACTAAATATTCCTACAAGAAGACTGGATCTGAAAAATTTGGGGAATCCTGGCTTTGAATACCTTGTTCATTCAAAATGTATGTTGTTCTTCGATTTACCATATGAGCTGAGAGTTAAGCAGGATTTGACATATCCCAGTTTGAATGGTTTTTTGTCAGTACGTAGTTTTCGGATTCACCAGACATTTAAAAAATTACCTGTCATTTCTAGAATATTACTAGACATTTCATGTAATGTTGTTAAAGAAAACTTAGGGAAAGTATTAGGGAAAACAGATCTTATGGATTTCCTATGAGTTGGCCTGGCAATTCTGAAGACCAGGTTTTCATAGATACTATAACAACGTCACTTTTAGGTTTTTCCAGAAGGCCAGTTCTTTATTCTCTATTGAACTACCTTTATTTGCATTGGTGGAAGACTCCAGAAAAAGTGATAAGTAACCAAATAAACAGAGCATCTGTAGATGCTTGCACTCTTTGTAAAACAAACAGTCCCAATTGGAAAACCTGTAACTAAAACCAATTCAATATTGATGTTATAGTGCAGTTATTTATGAACATACTATACATTTACGCAGGGCTTTTCTCCCTTTCGGGGGCACTATTCTATAAGCGGAAGAATAAAAAAGCACTCAATCATTATTTCATTATGATTTATGGTTTAGAATTGCCCCAATAATATTACAGAATGCCCTACAGTAATCAATACAAATGAAGTATCAGGGAAAATGATGATCATCGTTGGTATCTTGGTAGGGTGGGTGAGTAATTAATGGAAGAACTATCCATGGCAGCCATATATCACAAGGGTCATTATCTGACCATTGTGGTAGGAAAGAATAGAACAGCTATTGACCAGTAATTGTAGAAATAGTTCTAGATACTGTGTTTTGATCCCAGAGTGAAAAGATTGGACAGATAGTGGCATCTTTCTGTTATTGTTGCCCTTCATTTAACAAAATGTTTTTCCGTGCTTAGTCTTTTTGTTTGTTTATTTGTCTCATTTGGTGAATTGGTGTTGATGAGTTTTTTTGTAAATGGAAAAATCACTTTTTGCAGGGAAATGTTACCAGCTTTAAGCCTTTCTGTTCGAAATAGTATGACTTGAACTTTTTACTTTAATATCTTCTGCATTTATCACAAGTGAACTTGCTAAGACTCATTCAGAAATATTGGGATCACACTGTCCAATCCGTGCACAGTAGAAACAACCCCAGGAAAGCCCAGTTAATAAGCTGAAGTGATGCATCCCGCTAGCAACAGGTTCAAGAAGGTTATAATTAGCGTCTACAGGTAGACATTAAATGCGTGGAATGGAGGAGATGCATGCTGAAATATTCTTGGAATTGCTGAGAAAAAAAGCTTATTTGCCAGGAAACCAGCAGATTTGGTAGGTGATGGAGCGGATAATCTGATGTTTTTGTAACCCTGTGCAATCATATAGATAACACCGATGGATAGGAAAAAAATCTTCAATCCTCAGCAGGCCTCTGGCGCAATAATCTCCCTTTCCTGTTGACCGTAGCATCAGTTACAGTGGGAGATTCCAATAGAGAACTCTTCACCTCAGAAACCACCAACTGCCAGAAAGAAACCGCATATTACATCACTCCCAGCAAGTCTGTAAGCAGAGATAACTATCACCACACACAGGGGCTAATTGTACTTGGGATACTGTGCTAATTGACATTGAAGTGAAATTTGCCAATCATATTGGATTAAGTCTAGTGGAAAAATGCTTTCAACATTGAATTGTGGGTTTAACAAAGCGTGCTCCCTCTCAGAATTTGAAATCAATTCTTAGAGACAGTGTGATTGTTGCTGAGGATGTGAAGTATGGATGCCGTAGACAAACACTTGATACGTGAGAAGGGGGAGTGTGTAGCATAGCAAACACTCAGGATAGAAATAGAATGCCTGGGAAGAAAGAAGAAACATTGATGCACAGAGAGCAAGAGAAAGAAAGTGCAGCCCTATAAGGTTGAGAATACTTGAATCCAGGGGAAAAATCTATGCAACTAAATGTCCTTGTTTTGAACCGAGTGACCTCTGCACACAATTAAGTTTGCCATTCAATTGCACAGCTGTAGTGACCAAATTAAGTGACCATTGAAAAAGGAGAAAAAATTATCTAGTGTCATATCCTTTCAATTTTGTTTCTTTCAGCTCCTGATCATTGATAGCCGCTCGTTCCTGGAGTACAATACTTGTAACATAATCAATGCAGTGAATGTCTGCTGCTCCAAGTTGGTGAAGAGAAGACTACAGCAAGATAAGGTCAGTAACGATTACATTATTGACATAGATGTGAAGCCTTCCACACACATCAACTGGGGTTGATGTCACGAAAATGATGGAGACCTGTCAAATTTGTACTCTCCACCTTTGAAAATGTTGCATTTTCTTTGCCTAAATATCCTGCATAGCTATTTATCTTTCGCAATTCAGCCCTTAAAACAGTAAAGCCCTTCAATAATAGTTTCTGATCTTGATATTTCCATCTGACATATAGAGGCATACGTGGCACTCTAAGTGACTCCCCATACCAATTGCTTGTCTTTATCGATAAGAAGAAAAATTAGACAATGCAATATTAAAAGGATGAAGATAGGTCTGGATTTTGCAATAGGAAGCAGTTGTGTCTGTTTGGCCTCTCACTATCTTGAGTGAGGAGCAACTACAATTTGGTGTGCTGCTCGCTCTTGTTTCAAGTAACTTATCTTTCCCATTGCTGTTGTGAAGATCAACAAGGACCCTCCTTCATTGTGAGTGGTGTTGACAACTACCTCGTACAGTGAGTCAGTGCTACAGCAATGTCAAAGCAGTCGTAAAACCTCTGCTTCATAATCATTCTTACAAATATAAACACAACACGTCATACCTGCCCACTGAGAGAGTGTAGCAAGGTGTTAGTGTGAAGAAATTGGTTTTTTCATCGTCTCTAGCGTAATGATGGTAGAAAAATTGATATGTGGAACATGTGATTAAAGAATATGTGATTAAGGTAGTTTGATGAAGGGTTGAAACATCACACTTCATAGTTAAAAAAAACTGTCAAGAAACCTTTTTTTACTGAGGTGTTGTTAGATTAATTTTTTTACTTTGTTAAGAGAAAAGAGAAAGGAGTTGTTACAGAGAAAACCTACGAATGTTGATAAAATTATTTCTGTTGTTTAAATTCCCAGGATTCCCTGTTCTCAGGATGGTTGGTTCCAAAAGTTGTACTGAACATTTAAGAAGTTGCACTCTGTTTATCTTGAATGATTTGCTATCTGCCTTTAATGTGATTTTGGCGCATGAATTGCTGTTGTTCATTCATTTCATACTAAAATCTACAGATTGTGTATCTGACATTTTCAGTCTGTATTACATTGTCAGCTGGTTTGACTTTTCTATCACACTCCCTTGAAAGATTCAGAAATGACATTTGACTTTGTAAAGGATTCCATGTCAGTTTCTTAGAACTCCTTGCATGATAATTGTGCCTTTCTCAATTAAATGACATCTTGTTAGCTTCAAGGTGTGTTTTGTGGTAAGTTACCAAAGGCGCATCTACCATCAGGCCATCTTGTTATAAAACATGGTGTGTTCTCCAGGCTTTAGCTGAAATTACAAGCATCTTGCACATGTTAATGCATTTTTTTTTTTGTTGCTCTTCAAGCATATCTGTTTAAAAGGCAGATCGTGTATCTGACTTGGGATAGAGTTATTTCCTACATCATAAATGGAAATGTTTATTAGTGGTTTTGATTATCAGAAGAGATAATCCCATCATCCCTTGATATTTTTTTGAGATGAAATGAAAGATAGAATGTGTTCTGAAAAATTCAAATCATTCAGTAACATGATGTTAAAGGAAATGATATTCAACAGCTTAAAACTTAAACCGGAGTTAAAAATGTAAGTGATGAGATATAACTTGCATTTTTTTCACCTGAAGCAGCAAAACCCGTGTATAGAATATAAGTATGAATGAGATTAATCAAATTAGATTAAGAGATGTAGGGATGCACTTCTAGATACCGGATACATAAATTCTAATTAGTCTCTGAGGGGCAGTGCGAAGTGAGTCACTGGTGAAAAATGAACTGGAGGGCAGGTGGACTGTCCACCTGGCTCCAACCCTGCTGGTCAGCTCAGCTGCAGGACACCTGGAAAACCAATTCTGTAGGTGGCCCCAGGCACTAATTCCATGATTTAGATAAGATATAGATACAGCAGATTCCTAGAAGCCTGGATAGAGGGAGCTTTTTGAAGTAGTAGCACTTCGGCCTAGACTGATTTCAGGGTTTTTGAGTCATTTTGTTTTTTGATTTCACTTAGAAGGGTGCATGTGCCCTGAGGGGAAAAGTTAGCCACATAAGATTTAACATGATGAATCATAAAAATATGCCTAAAAAGAGATTTTTAAAAGTGATATTTGACTTCTTGAAAATTCATGCATAAGTTTTAGAGTGATTGGGTTCTACTTGACTCATGACATAGGAATTGACCTGAGAGTGATTGTGTGTGCCTGACCCCTCTTGTCATGTCATTTAACCGCATGATACCCAGAAACCTAGTACCATGGCAGCAATTCACAGCATCCCAGCCATCCATCAACATACAACTGCCCTGTCACACACAGCACTTCATTGGAGTGTCCCAATTCATTTACCCCTTCATTAGTCACACCCTCTTCTGGTCAGACATGTGGTGAAAAGAATGGAGTATAGCATCTTGTGTGTGTGTGTGTGTGTGTGTGTGTGTGTGTGTGTGTGTGCGCACGCATGTCACTATCAAACTTATCCTTGGTTCTACATGTGCTTGTGTTTCTTTTCTTATGTGTGTGGTTGTGTTTGTTGGATAGATGAGGTTTACTGCAATTCTTTATACTTTGATTTTTGAATTTCTTTTTGCTCTGTTACTCTCTGTGTGTGTCTTGACCATTCACGTGGATGTGTGTACTCATGCTTGCGTGTGCACTTCCCCGTACACTGATTGTGTCCTTATTGCTTTTGCTGTTTGTGTGTTGGCCCTGCAGAAGAATGTGTGCGGCAGATCTCCCCTGCTGCTTTCTGTATGTCTATTTGTGTGAGTAATGTTTTGACTTGCCTGACCACAAGCCACTTAAATAACATGATATTCCTCTAGTGCACTCACACACAACCACCAGCAAACGCCACAGATATGATACCTAGTGTACTCAGAGAAATGAAAACAAAAGATTCCGTATCCACACATGTTGCAATGTTATTTGAAAGATGTGCAGTCTCTCTCGCTGCATGCTTATTATTACAGTAATGTTTCATTATCTGCCTTCTTTACATCAAGAGGGCTTGCTTCCAGGAAATGTGTTCTTTGATAGTTTGAGATATCGATATTGCAAACACTGTGTATGTTTTTGGAACAAAACGGACTTCCATTAGAGGAGTAACTAAAGAACATTTGTTTTGTTGAAAAGAAACTCCTTGTATTACTTTCAGTTGTGCAGGGATGTTTTTCTTAGTTTACATCAATAATTCAATGACATTGCCGATTGTGTGTGCACAGACATAACCAGGGCCTCGCAGAAAGCGCAAAAAGATTGCGTGTGAACTAAAACAAGCATGTCTTGAGGTGAACCCCGATAGTTGCACTCTGGAACACAAAACCAACTGAAACAGAAAAAGTGTTTGCCTACACTTTCGATCACCCAGGAATAATGTTTGCCATAGTTTTGTTACTTATCCTAGTGTTGCAATTATCCCAATGACCTGCTGGTGTGCTGGCGTCTCCCTGTCTTTTTAGTCCACACCCCGAAGGCACTCACTCACTGGGGGTAGATATACACACACACACACACACTGGTGAAGCGAAAATTTTCCAGGATAACGGTGACATTTCCCTTTTCATGTTGTGTCTATATAGCTCTGTATGTGTGTGACTCATCTATCATTTAGGCAAGTATATTGCGAAGGAAACAAAACCTGTTGTGGTAATTGTGGGAAATTCATTGGTGGTAAAGAAAATTAAAGTTTGATGCTGGAAAGGTTTACTTTTTTACCTCTTTGTTGTCTGTGGACAAGGGTGTCTGGCTGGACAGTCGCCTTTTGTGTGCAGTGTTCATTTCCCAAAATTTTTGATTAGGTTTTGAATTGCTTGGTAAAAATGATTGGGCCAAAAATAAAATATAATGGATAAATAGATAAATATAAAGAAGAAAGAAATGTAAGAAATGTTCACAATGTGGTACAAAGAAAAAATAATGACATACAATAAAAGTTGCACAAAAAATTAAAAAAAAAAAGAAAAGAAAAAAGGGAAATATTTAAAATATTAGGAAATGAAAAAAAATTAGATAAAAGTTTTTAGAAGTTTTGTAAGGATGCATTATTTTCAAGTTTGTTTAATTATATAATTTTAAAATTTCACTGCATGATGTAATTATGCATGGAAATGAGGTGAAAGAATTTGCAATGAAATTATGTTTTTCAATTCATTGAAAGGTAACTGTATAGCTGAACTGCATTGCAATTAATTAGGTTTTATATGCATTGTGACTAATCAAGTGTAACTTATGCAACCGATCTGCTTTCACAAGCCCTTATTGTCCTAGGTGTGAATTGCAGGGGTCTTATTCGTGAGCTTGTTCTATAGAAAACAACCTCGGCGTCAACAGTATTGATTAACCTACCTACGGCAAACATGTTGCTTTCTAGAAAATAGTTTGTTTTTTCCTCCCCTTGATTGAAGCCGCACATTTAGTTGGGTTTTTGTCACAGACAGGTGCCCCTACATGGCCTGCCTCGCAACTAGAGTGTAAATCACTTCAAAATAATATCATCATCTGGTGGGTAATCTTAATAATAATTGTTGCAGGGGATGATTAATATTCATCAGCATTGGTGAGTCATCCTTTCAAGCTACCTTGTTATTTGCTTTCCATGCAGGTCACTGTGCGAGAGCTGCTGTCACAAGCATGTGAGTTCGACTTGGACCAAGACTACCAGATTATAGTGTACGACCAGTGCACGGAGAACCCAGAGACCCTCACCGAGGACTGCTTTCTGGTGGTGCTGCTCAAGAAATTGTCCGCTGCATTTAACAGCGTAAAAATGTTGAAAGGTAAGTGGGACTGTTTTTATCTCTCTGACGCAGAACTTAGCTGCTTAGATGTACGTATAATAAGACGTTGTATGCAATCTGTAATTTTCTTATCTGGTTGATAAGGTGACGAAAAGAGATTTGAACAATAATGAAGCACTTTGCAGTCTGTTCTCAGGTGCTTAATTGAAACATAAGTTTAGTTTCTAATAATTATTATGCAGTAATGGAAGGGAAGATTTTCTCATTTTGATGCAGCAACAGATTTTTTATGATAAAAGGAAATGTAATGATATTTCTGTTATCTGCAATTTTACATTATAATGGATATTTTTGATATTCAAATGGAACCACTGAAACACTGTATATTTAAAAAAAATTTGCTATCTGGGAAAATTAATTGTAGCATTTTTTCTTTGCACATTTATATCATGAGCGCAATGAAAACCTCTGCAGCACATACTGAATATGAGATTAAATCCTTTATTATGGTCATAATGATAATAGAGATGAAAGGATTTAAGCAATTTTGCCACCATATGCCTGTCTCATTATATATTGACTCATCCTTGCCCAACTTTGAAACTGACCTCAGTCAAAAGCAATTTATGGGAAATTGTTACCAGTTTCAGGGGCTTGGCTGTTGTTTATCCTGGTTGTTGAATTTTACTGTATTTTTTGTATAATTCGAGGGATGGTTTATGTAAGTGGAATTAATCATCAACATGCAAGAACTTATACTGTGCAAAAAGTTCATTAAGTATAAAATATTGTTGGAAGAATGCATTAAAAAAAGTTGACAGTATAGAAAATTTTTATGCAAGTAATTTTTGTCAGTGTCAATATACATTAAACTGGATTTTTTCAGCTCTAGAACACTTTCAAAACACTTGATTTGACTTTGGGTCTTATTACCTTCTAATTAAGTTCAAATTATAAAACAGTGGTATTAAAGAAACATAGCAACTGAGTTGTTTCTTAGGCAAAACCTGGTCATGGTTTTCTAAAAATTGAAAATACTTAAAAAATATGTTTTTGTCATAAACGCCCTATTAGACTCCTTAGATCAGGATCATAAAGTGCACTGGCTGCCAGTTACTTCACAGAAATTTAAGCCCCAGAGTCGAACACTTGAAATAAACAAATAAATGAGTAAATGTGTCAACAAACAGTTCAGCAAAGAAGCCACACTCGAAGGTCCAAAGTCTAGGCTCTAGTTTGAATATGATGTCATATCATTTACAGCTTTGATTATTATTTAGATTGCTGATGCAGAATATATCAGAATGTGACTCGTTGCAAGTTGTTCACTGTATAAAATGGGATAAATTTAACTGATTACTCTTTTTTTACAACATGGTTTATAGCGTCATTGACAAATAATATGCTGCTGATGTAATTAAATAGTTTACATTATTCCAAAATGATTCTCTCAAAGTGAAAGTGAAAAGAAAGGTAACAATTTCTACATTAAAGTATTAAAGTTGACTATTTTTGACTGACACCATTAATCAGATTAATCAAAATGATAGTGAAATAAATGCGCAAAAGTTCAAGCTTTCAGGATGTTTAGTAAAGTTTATTGCTAATCAAGCTTTTGTTTGCTTTGATCTCGTATGAGTCAGCGAGAATAAAAAGCACTGATGTTGAGGGACAGGGAAAAGCCAGTTTCTTGCTGTGTTCTTTGATATCTTTGATTTCCATCCTGTCGTAGCCAGGTTCTGCATTACACTACCTGTGCGGGGCTGTTCCAATCAATTCTCCAGCTCACAGTGATTTCCTTTTGAAGTGACCAGAGTTTTAGATCCCTATTGATCTGTTCTCTCCAGGTAATGAAGAATTAGGCAAAATTATGCCCATCACTGTAATGATTTATGAGCATGGACTTGAGATTTGCCATATGCAATTAGTTCGACTCGTTATGCCATAGATAATAGAAGGTAATCCGGGCTCTTCATTGACTGACTGACGATGAATCATTGGTCAAACTCTCATTGAAAGCAAAGAGCTTTTGGTTCTGTTTTTGGTGTATGAGTGTGTGTGTGTGTGTAAGTGTGATCTGCTAAACTACTGGTTAATTTACACTAAATTAGACCAAAATAGGCCCAGAATTCGATGGACTAATTCAATAATACGAAATAAGCATGCTCAGCACGAATTAAAGTTTTCCCACGGAAATTATGGCCCTCTAGTGATCTGCTCCCGGGAACTTCAAAAGCTTACTTACTATATCACTATCACCACTGATCATTTTCTGCAATAAAAACCGTCTGATAAATGAAATGCAGTTTATGATTCGTTTTCCCTCCAAGCCTTTGGAAAATGAATAAAAGCAGCTTTGCATTTTAAGTCTTTTCATCACATTTTCTCTCTGAGATTGTATAAGATAATGATAATCCTACTTCAAAAATAGTTGGATTCAAGGGTTAACTGTCCTTAGCTTATCAAATGTATGTAATATGGTATGACTCACAAGTTTATTTAACATAGAACAATGGCTTCATTGGAGATAGCATTTCCAAAGCCCCTGCCAACCACACTAAGCCTCAGATGATCCTCCGCTGACTGGCAAATAAATAAAACTATTCTATACCACCAATTCAACTTGACAGGCTTCACTATAATACATTATCAGCTGACAACACAGCCCTCCCCTTCACTGCCCCTTTAAAAAAATCTATGGCTGTATCAGTTATTGAAATCCACCAATTAGATTAATTTGTCAGTCCAGCGAGCTGGTGATTAAGTTTGGATAGTTTTCTCAAGAGCTTTAGTTTTTAATAAGATCTGCATAGCTGCATTATCGAGTTGGATTACCCCTGTCATTCATTGTCAAAGGAAGTCCAAAGTTGATGTGATTACGAATGGATGAATTTGGTAAATCTCTGGAATTATTTTAGATGTTGGGTAAAGAAACTCGCTTGATTGGGTGCCTGATCAATATTCTGCCCTGGGGTCAAGGGTCATCAAAGTGCATTGTTTATGCATTAAATTGGTATAATTAAAAGTACTATCTAATTAGGTGATGATTGTTTTAACTTCGAATAGACTGCAACACTAGTTAGATTGGAGGAGTTCATTTTCTCTCTCTCTCTTCCCCCCCCCCCCCCCAACTCATTCATTCATTCGCATTGTGCAGAAATGAAAAGAAGATATCCTCTACCTGTACTGACTGAAGCCAGCCAAAAGTTTTCATGCACTTGGTGTTCTTGATGATTGTCAGCTCTTATCCTGATGGGAAGCTGATATTGTCATCAAGTGGCATAATGTTAGCTCTAAAACTGTTTCACTCCAGTTAATTAGCAGTTATTTTTAATTCTGAGTAACTAACAGGAAAGAAGTAAAAGGTTGGGCCTAACCCAGTGGAAAAGTGGAAAAATTTTCCACACTCTAAATATTTTTTTCTTTTTGTAGATTTTAATAGGAAAAATAAATCATTTTCATCAGCCACATATGGGTCTGAAAAAACACCATGAACAAAGATGGTAAACAAGGCTGGAGATGTTTAAATTGTTAAATTTCCTGACACAGGCCTAGGGGGGATGTCCTGTAACATGATCTTGTGAGATGACAGGCATGACCTCACTGTTACTCATATTGGGGCAGAACCTTCCATTGGACACAGTCAACACAGTGATTACCTGCTTACAGAGACGGTTGAATCATAACTTAAACACATCTAATGAAGAATTTTTAGGAAAGGACATCAATCCTTGCTGCAACTTGCGTGATGCGAAGGGGAGCGAAATTTGTAGTCTGAATGTTTCAAGACAAAGTTGAATCATAATTAATGTTAAAGTGAGAAAAGATTTTGTTAAAGCAGAAGCCAGTGATTTTAAAAGGGGGAGGAGACAGCTGGCAGAACAGCAAGGCAGTTGAATCATAACATAATAAAAGTAACGCAGAATTGTGGAAGTAACATTTTGTGACTGTTGAGGAAGCAAGTCTGAAAGAAAAAACTTGTCATAGCTAGGAAAGGAGGACAGCCATGGGTGGTAAGATAGCTGATTATATTTAAGTGCATGTGCCCTCAAATACGAGGTTGATAAAATTGTCTGCAATTGATAAAATTTAGATAGGGCTTTAAAAATATTTACAGATTCCAATATTCACAATGGTAAAATAAAATTTGAATCAAACAAAAGTTACTATGCTTCCTCTTTGCAGTTTTCAAACAGTTTTCAAAGTGCATTAAATGTTTTTGGGGAGTAAAAAAAAATTCATAAAGAGAAAGAAAAATTCTGTTTGTAGTTGATATGCCCCCATATATATATATATATATATATATATATATATATATATATATATATATATATATATATTAAACAATCAAGAAAAAAAATGTCATTTTTATAAGTAGTTATCCTAGGTTCCCAGGTCTGTCACAATAATTGCATTGTGTTAACGAAGTCCTTTCAGAACTTGATGGTCAAACTTGGACATCCCTTTGGTGCATCTGTCATGTAAAATTCAGTTATAGACCAAATATATCTGCCACATGAAAATTGCATTGGAAATGATTATAAAGTACTTCATACTTTTTTTTCCTTGATAAATTAATTCGGAATTCCTTTGGGTAGTGTTGGTGTTGTCTTAATAGGGGAATTTCTTTTGCCAAGTGGTATTTGGGTCACCTCTGATGCAAGGTCAGTGTATAAATGGGATTTGTGTACGCCATTTGTAAGTACAGCATGTGAGTCACCAGCTAGCGTTTACATAGCTCAAAGCTTTAAAGATATTGTGTGTTGATTCCAATCTGAATAGGGGTCTGGTTGTTGTAAAGCCTATAATACTGCACTGTGTGTCTTAAGCCCACGCAGGCTGTTGTAGGTACTTTGTCTCTGTTCAGACGTGGTGTTTGCGACACGGGCATAAGTCCAGATACATATATATATATATATATATTTTGTGTTTGTCTACTCCATGAGAGGGTGACTCAAGTTCACATGATGATAACAGGGGACTGGACACTATGGAAATCTACACCAGAGACAAACAGACATAGTTGACTAGTTTCAATGCAGGTGGGTGAAAGTCAACATAAAATGATCATGATAAGGAAGAGATGGGATTTCCAGGTGAGAAACTCTGCAGGCATTAAGAGCATTGACTGAGAGCAGTAAAGGTGAGCATGCCTACTTCCCGGCTTATCACTACTATTCGCTGTAGTAAAGATTGGAAGCCATCCTTTCAAAGCAGCGTGCTCTCTGTGACATTTGCCGTGACTTGTAGGTATTTACCTGAAGTTTATGAAGTCTTCAGTGTCATGCGAGGTTGACACTTACGCAAAAATGGCCCCAGGGTTATTATTGGTCATAGAGGATTACAGGCCATCATCACTGAAAGAAGTCATGGGAGGTACCTGCTGATGTTTAGGGGCGGACCACAGGAGAGTCATACGAACATCAGGAGATCTTTGTCAGTCTCTTGACCATCTTAGTTTCCCTAGAACGCTTAACCACAGGATGAATCAAATAGCTATTGTACCAATAACTGCTTGTGAATTTTGATAGTGAATCACATGTGTGGTATGCCTTTATGACTGTGTCCATCTGTTGTGACTTATTTGCAATATGAAAATGATAGGGAATCCGAAATGTGGTGTACTCGTATGTGGCATGATTGGAGCGTACCCCCATTGCTGCATTCGTAGTAATAGTTGTGGTTATGCTGTGAATTTGATGGGCGAAGATGATTAGAATAGCCCAAATTAGTGATGAATAATGGGCATTTTTCCTTCCCCATTCTTTGTATCCAGAACCTTTCTCACCATATCCTCTAAATCACCCATAGTTGATGTTACATAGTACTCTCCCGGACTTGGGGATGGATTATTCAGAACATAGGAATTTTGCTTTTCACAATACAGGTGTAGACATTGGATGTTGTTTACAGGGTTGGATATATTTTTTCCTTTTTGTGTGTGAAAGTGGGGTAAGACAGTTGCTAAATTTTTATGTGAAATGTTTGAAAATGAGCAATTTAGGGGAGGGGAAGGGATTATTCCACCCTTATTATATAACATTTATTGTTTCATCCCTTGGTGTGCCATGAAACAAAAATGTTAGAGTGGAGAATTATAACGGTTTTAGAAATGATTTCAAGAAAATTTTTGAATTCATAATGTCATGATGATTTATGACCATCAATTTGCTTTCTCTTGAAATAAGAATATTTTCTTTGTTTTTTAATTCCATGACGATTGCTAGATAAAAAAATAATAAAATAGAGAAAGTGACTATAGCTCGAATTACACTTTCACAAAGTGCTTAAGAAGTCTTTATGTATATATAATACTCTTTGAAGTGGTATAATGTCCTGTTTATGACCTTTTATAAAAATTAGCTTTAAAGAAGTGTAGAGTTTCTCTAAGAAAAGATGAATCATAATGCCCCCTGCCAAGAGAAATAGAGTAGTCGGATACAGGGGATTGTGTATGAAGTACTACAGGGTGCGTACTAGGGATTGTCGGACAAACAGCCTTGCAGTAGACCTGTTGATATAATTAGAGAACTGCTCTCAAATAAATGTCACAGTTTTGAAATATTCTGTCAGATCAGTTATTTTGAGTGGCACTTACATAAGGTCAGATCACTGATGATGGGATATAGGAAAAACTAGCCGATAAAAAAATATCATTGCATCACTTTACTCATTTATTTATTTGTTGTCAGCAGCTTTTGTAAATTTAATGAACAATGCTTTTTCTTCAAGGTGTCGGTATTGATTATATTAATGGGAATAATAAGAACTTGTATTGGAGGTGCTAATAGAGATCTTTCAAGGTATGTTGTCTCTCTGGCAGCTAGGCTGTGGAATCAGATGCTTCAAGCAGCATTGGCCACAGGTGCCTGGTCATCTGAGGTGGTAATAGTGAGACAAGGATACAGAAATCAATATTTGTGTGTCTTGAAACCATAATGTATCAATATAATATATATCACTAATTTTTTTTTAGGCGGCTTTCTGGAATTCCAGGCCACGTTCCCTGCACTATGTGAGAGCAAATCGGTGGACCACAAGGGAATTCATGCCTCACTGACCTCCATGTCGCAGCCCTGCTTACCGGTCAGCAACGTAGGACCGACCAGAATCCTGCCCTTCCTCTACCTTGGCTCCCAGAATGACGCACTAAGCCAGGAAACAATGCAGGTAAGTGGATAATGGGGGTTTGATATTTGGGGATGAAGTGGTGGGGGGGGGGGGGGGCAGGTATTTGAAAGGTTAACATGGGGATATGGTGCTTAAAGGATTGTTGGTGTGATAGATGTGCAACATGCATTGTAGAAAACAAAAATGGGATATTTAAGAAGAATATCAGGCAAAATATATTGATGTTGTAATATTACTTTCAGGTACTTGAATTTTTTATCTTTTGGCATAGTTCATTAATCCTTGACATTTGGATACTAGTGATGAAGCAAAAAGCCTCAGATCACAAAATGTCATTTTGTCTAACTTTATCATTTTTTTCCTTTTAGAAAAATGGGATAAACTATGTCCTGAACGTTAGCTTGAACTGTCCAAAACCACCCTTCATCCAAGAGGGACATTTCATACGCATTCCAGTCAATGATAACTACAGTGCTAAGCTGTTACCACATTTTCATAAAGCATTCCAATATCTAGGTAAGTTTAGAAAAACAAGCAAACAGTTTTTACAGTTTAAAAAACATGCGGATATTGTCAAAGGTACCAATTATGTTTAGAGTTGCTTGTTAATATGTTTGTGGTTTTGTTGGGGCACTTATGGTGTGTCTGTAATCATTCTAACTGAATTTTTATTATAATTATGAAGAAAACGAAATTGGATGTTTTAATTTTTGAGAAATCCTGGGGCTCTTCAGGAAAAATGCAGATCCAAAACTAATTCTTATTTCCTTGCAAACTGTTGCTCATTAAGTGAGCTGCTTAAGTTACTATTAGAGTCTCTCAATCAATGAAGTTGCATGCTTAAAAACTCCAGCATCAATGTGACATTGATTGGTTACTCAAATATTTTGAATACTGTATTGATTAATTGTCCGTTTCCCCACTAGAAACCCTTTCAAGCATTGTTTGCTTTTGTTTCTACTCTTTTTCTTGTGTAATGAGATGTAGTTCCGTAGTCTCATTCACACGCCAGTCATATTCAGCAGACTTTAGAAAATCCAGCCAGGCCTGCCTATGCTAACATTTTAACAACAAGTTCATGTACATCTCAATTTAGGTAATGACGCCAGAAAGTCGTATCAATTAAGGATGGCTACAAAGAAATTCTAGATAAATGGTGAAATCCGTGCATTTCTCTCTCGCTGGAGTCCTGGGATAAACACAATTGGTCTCTTGGTAATACTCTGGTGAAATGGACTTCAGAGAATAGGGAATCTGTGTTTTAGAATTTCTGTTTGCTAAAACTTTTATCTGGCTTTGATGGGTGTTTAAGCACGGAATTGACTGGCGTCTGAAAAATTATTCACGGAAAATTGATTTGAATGAAGTCAACTCTGTGAAATTAAGTGGAAAGCTTATTGGATCACTTTGAAAAGAATCATTAGAAGCTGGACATTTTGAAAAGAGACAACTGCTTTTCAAGTAGTTGGTCTGTAGAGTGATTAATGCAATTTTTACTTTCACTTCATTTAAGAGGTATGCACATTTTCCTGACTCTTAACATTTAAAAATTATGTTTGAGTCACTTGTTACTGCCAGGTTTTACCTTCTGATTGCTGAATCAAATGTGTTTCTTCTTCTTGGAAGGTGATAGTAGTACCATTGCAGGGTATTTCATGTCTTTTAAACCACCAAATACTAGCTTAGAAATTGAAAGTCTGAAAAGTATTTTTCAAATTGTATGCCATTCGTGTTCAATGTTATGAAGTTCAGGAGTAAATTGAGTCATGATTTCCTACGTGGACGATGGATTTTTTCCATATAGAGGAATTTTATTCAGGGATAAAGGAAGAAAGAAACAACTATCTAGGCTATCCATAAAGATAATCCTTGGACAAAACAGGATTATTTTCAAAGTTGACTTTGGCTTTGTACTATCTTCACAATGACCATGTATTTACTCGATTTCCTGAATAAAAGATAGCCTAGGTGCTGCGACTTATCCTATTACAGTGGGTTTTATTGACTGTAAAGCTAAAGGTATGAGTTTCTGGGCCTCATGCTCTGGTCATTTCCTGCACATCTTTCATAAAGAAAAGCCTTTTGTGGTCTCATAAAATGATAGGCAAAACGCTTTCCTTGAAGTGTTTTCTAGGATATTGCATTGTGTCACTTGAAACCGTTGCTGTAATGAAGTCTAAAGCATATTGATGATGAGCTCCAGTTTGTGTCATTTCTTGTCAAAGCACAGGATGTAGTGAAATGACAAGGAAATAATGCTGAATACATACCTGGGCATGGGTCATATCAGCTAATTGCGTTGAATGCTGTAATTTTGAATCATTACCCAATGATGGATGGATTTTTTTGTGTTTGATGAGAAAGTTATCAAAAATCCATTCATGAAATCTGTCACATCCGTCAACCTACCACCTATCACTCTGTTTTTTTTTTTTTTTTTTTTTTTTTTTTTTTTTTTTTTTTTTTTGGTTCACAAACCAGATGGCTGTGATTAGTCACTTCCAAGATGCATGCACTTTCTTTCCAACTCTTCTGGCATTTTCTGTACTAGAATATTGTTTATATATCATGACTACAGGCTTAAACAAGAAGTAAAGAAGAAAGAAATTTAAACATGCAAGTCTGCCATTATGAGTAACAAAACCTTCGGTATTGGGTTGAATTTTATGAAGCAGATTAGGATGAGAAATGATGCTCAAATCCCAATGGTTTATTTCAGATAAGGTGCGTGAGGCCAATGGCTGTGTTCTGGTCCACTGTCTGGCTGGCATATCGCGTTCACCTACTCTAGCAATAGCCTACATTATGCAGCACTATTCTATGACATCAGAAGAAGCTTACAGGTCAGTTTATCGTTGCCTGTGTTTTTCTATTGGTCTGATTAGTAAAAATGGACAAAATTTGAAATAAAAAGAAAATGTTTAATGTAATTTTTTTTATTGCTTTAAATTTTGTCAATTTTTATGTAGTGCACTTTAACTACCAAAAATGTTTGCCAACTTGTATTAATTTTTAGCAATGCACTTTACATACCAAATATGTATGCAGCAAAAACATTATGGTACTTTTCTTTATCAGTTTTTTTCATCAGAAAGTGTTTGAGTAGTTTGAAGTCCATGTGTAGAGGTGACAAGCACGTGGAGATATATTTATCATTTTATTCCACATAGTGATTTATTGTGAAGCATGGGCTGTGAATGGAGTGTAGTAAACTTGATTTAAAAGAAAGAAAGAAAGAAATATAGATACCTCTTGTTAACTTCTTTTAAACATTTCATTAATTTAAATCTTCAGGTATGTGAAGGACAAGAGACCAACCATCTCACCAAATTTCAATTTTCTCGGTCAGCTGTTGGAATATGAGAAGCAGATGAAAAGATACTGTTCCCCTCTGGTGACACCATTACCCTTTCCACCCACTGCCACGCCTACCCCTACAAACCAGGATAGTCCGCTCAGCTGGCCAAACCCTAAGACATCCCCCTTCAGCACCATACAAGAGTCTAGTTCTTTGAATGCCCAATCTCCAACAACTGCTTTGGCAAAACTGAACTTTGATCAGCCGCTTACTCCAGAGGCTGCTCCTTCTAAATCATCGGAGACCTCTGTATCGCCATTTTTTCCTCCAACAAGGACTCAGTTGCCAAGTCCAAAGATACCCGCTTTCAAAAGTGCAACTCTACCTGCATCGATCGGATGTAGTCTCAGGGAGCGTCTCAGCTTAACGCGGGTACAGAAGAGGTCCTCATCGCCTGCCTCAACGTCATTTGGTTCTAAAACTGCAGATGATCTGTCGATTGGACATGTCCCTAGCTCAGACATGATATCCTCTTTTCCCACAACATCTTTAGATCAACTGAACTTTACTCCCTGTTTTGCTCTGGATGAAAGCAAGTCCAAGACCTCAGGAATCAAGAGACCTCATAGCACAAATACTGGGATCTCACAATTACAGACCGTAGAATCAAAGTCTGAATCAGGAAGTGTAACAGGTAAAAGATCCTGGGGTGTGGGAATGACAGAAAGTACTACACCAAAGGAGTCAGTGTCACATGCTTCAGGGACAGACAGAACGACAATAGCAGCTAATCCATCCAGATCAAATTCAAATAATACAAGTCCAGGCCTCAAAACTACAGGCACCAAGCGACCTCTAGATTTTGGGAAACCTCTGGAAAGCACACATGTCAGTGGCACCAAGAGTCCCACTGCTCCTTCTCCTATGTCCCCTTCTTTAATAAACACAGGGGACTCCCAGGTGAAACTGAGATCACCTGAGAATCGTGCAAAGAGACAGCTAGTCAGGCCTAACAGCATTGCTTTCTCCACATACCCTAGTTTTGATTTAGGCTGTAATGGAAGCGATTCCTCAACTTCAAACAGCCCCGATACGAAGGCACCAAAAAGTAGTAATATGGACATGGAAACATGCAAAAAGAAACTATTATTAGAAAGCAAGAAATACACCAATGGTGCCAGTACAATGCAGACTTTTGCATCTAATGTGGCCCTGGAGACAGTGTTGGGAAAAAGCAGGCTCTTTGAGCACTGCCGCAAGTCGCGCAGCTTGGATGACATTCTCAGCTCGCCAGAGGATGAGAGGAAGCACGCATCATGCGGTTGTATAAAGAAAAAAATGAGCAAAAGCTCTCTTCTTAAAAGTGCAATGGTTGCTGATCTATTTCCCCAGACAATGGGACTCGAGCATGTGCAATGCAGGTGCAGGGGGGCATCAGACCCCCACCACCAATCAAATAGTAGCATCTCCTCCAGCAGCAGTCATAACTCGCTGCATGGTAGTGTAGAAATAATACAGGTTTCTTAACATGTCACTTTCTTTTACTATTTGTGTTACATCTCAGGAATGTATATGCTTTTATGCCACAACCACAGGCATTCAAAAAAGAGTAAAAAAATGTGTAAATGGGTCAAAATTTTACCTTTGTTGCTGTTCACATTTGCTATTTAGGACTATCAAATCAGCACTGCAGGAAGAAAGTGACAATCATGTCTACAAGAAAGAAGACTGAATTAGATCCCTTGACTTTTTCAAGCTTAGTGCTGTGGCATATTAGCATATTACTGATACACCTCATCAGCTGTAATTATTGTGAAATTGATACCACTCCCCCACATTGTACATAACATCACTCTTTATCAATTATTTACATATATCTTTATAAATTATTGAACAGTAAGTGTGCAGCTTAAATAAGAGTGACTGCCTTCATGAATGAAATTCATTTCAATTCTTGAATGTTTACAGGTATGTTTGTGTGGCATTAAATCCACATTATTTCATTTCCTTCTACTTTTCCAATTATTGAATGCAGTAGGCACTTGTACATTTATACATTGGTTTGTAAAGATTCCAGATTAGTTGTTTCAGTGAAATGATAAGCATTGGTGCTCTCTGAGCATATAAGTTTAAGGATGGTGGAATTGGAAGGGACCATATACATTTATACATACAAGTATCAGTTGCATTGCTCCCAAGACCAAGAGGTTTGGCTTGAACAATGCACTTAATTTGTGTATGGGTATTTCAATATATCCAAGCATGAAGTAAATGTGGGAGCAGAATAGAGACAGGAGACAGAAATGAATGGATCTTGTAAATACACCACCATGGCACTGTTGGTTAGAACAGATGCACAAGATACTACTAGGGATTAGAAATTTTATTTCCCATTCATATTTTCCCTTATTTTGAAAAGTTGCAATACATATTGGTGTGTTTTGATTGAAAGTAAGGAGACACCATGCAATGTACTCTCCTCAGAAATGTTCCAATTTCGAGAAGAATTGCACAACAAGCAGGGAATGAATATATTTGTGGCACAGAATTGATTTATCATGTTCTTCGCTTCTGGAGAAAAAAAATTTCCAGTAGGAAGTCAATGATAACATTCTATTGTTTGCTAAAGAAGATTCAACTGGAATCTTTTTGTCATATATTACTTTCAAAGGTTATTTTATTATGAGATATATATATATATATATATGTATACATATACTGAAGAACAGTTTTTTTCAGTAAATATTGTATGGTTGAATGGGTGATTCAAGTGAGATCTTGAAAGATTTCTAAAGCCAAGTTGTCAAGGGCAGTAATTATTTAACTAGATATGCATATAACACTGGTATACCTCAGTCTAGGTGATAACATGTACAAAGAATTCCACGTTTAACTCCTCAGATTTGTTGTGTTGGTGAATATTCCTTCAAAGATTAAAAATTTAATTGTTGTATATTTTCTTGTGAATAATCCCACTTTGAACCCGAAAAAAAAACTGTATTCCAAGTGTTGTTTTCCACCCTCTGTGTGTGTTGTGGAGATACAGCTGCATGGCTGGGCTGCACTAGACAATTGTGATGATTAGCTGTTACCGCCTTTTAAGCAATAATTACAATATATGTGATACAGAACCTGAGGGTAATAGAAAGTTAATGATTGAAATACTGTCACAGGCATAGAATACACTCAGGTATAAGGATGCGTAGGAGCTTCTTAGAAAAACACAAGAGTGGCAGTTTGCTATAGTCAGATGTAGTTTGTGTGGCTTCAATTTCATGCATGGTATTCAGAATTAATTTTTTTCATATGTTTTGATTGCAATTTCAGAGAACACTTGGCTTAGTCATCATTATGTTACTTTTCTTTTTAAAGTGCTTTTCTTTATATTTATTGTTAGCTAGATATTGTAACAATAGTACCGTAATTTCATTTTTAATCCCAACCAATAGTAATGTAGATGGTTCATATCTGACTTGGATTTTTCTTAAGAATTTTTTTCTGGGAAGGTTAATGTTAAAAAGAAACAAACATTTTAGTATGTTTAGTGTGAGAAGACCAGTGTATTTCCATTTAGTTAGTGTAGTTGGCCATTACAAGCTGCATGCAGGTGTGTGTAAATCTCTTCAGTTGCAACTTGAACATAGAGACTAAATTCTGTATCATTGCAAACACAATTTTTCTCATACAACAATTGAATTGTAGTATCAATTTTCTGTTCAACTGGATGTGATATGTGTGGATGAATAGTTGATATCTTGTGGTTTATTCAATTTTCCATTTCTCTTTTGTCAGTGGTGTAAATTTTTGTGATATATTGTGCCGAATAAATTGTTAAAATGATGCATATATTTCTTGTTGATAACAAAGCGATTTGGTCTCCGACTTTATTTCATAATAATAATTTTATTGCTATTTTTGCTAATAATGTTTAACAAAAATTAATTAAAAAGAATATTCTTTTATGTGTAATAAGGTATACCATCTGTGTTTGAAAATGCCCCAAAGTCAATTTTCATTTGTATGTATCCTGCAAAGATGGTGGTCTTATCCAATTCAGACCTTAAAAACTATCAAACCCCTCAAATGTACCTGATGTAGAATTATAACTTTTGAAACACACACATGCCAGTCTTAGGCCCCATTCAGAAAGGATGTTCGGAGTACTTACTGCTCTGTTGACTAAATATGTCCGACCACAGACCAAAAAGCAATGCCGCTGATTCCTGATGGTCTCGCCTCCACGCGCACCGTTGCTGCAGGGGCCTAGCAATTAAACCCAGGAGTAGAGATTTAATCCATTTGAAGGCGCAAGTGAAGGGGGTGAGAGCATCAAGGGATTAAGCAGCTTCCTTTGATGAGGGGTTGGCCATATTTAGTCGGCGGATCAGTAAGTACTCGGATCATCCATTCTGAATAGGGCCTTAGTGACAGGCCAGTCATTTAAAACTAATATGCATAATAAGTAATAGTATGAAATGTGGAGTCCAAGGGTGCATTCCCAGAGATTTAGATCGATCCAGAGATTTAGATTAAGATCGACCTAACTCCTTGGGGGTTCAAGCTAAATTGCAGTCAGCCGAGCGCACACCATAGTTAATTACCCCCTTACAGCTTTTAGTAGGTGGGGCAGATGCTTAAGCTGTCTAAGCTGACAGTAATCTAGTGAGAATCCCCACACAGATAGATTGATCTAAAATCTATGGGAATGGGGTCCAAGTGCAGAGACAGGTTGAAGAATGATTTGTGAGTAGGAGAAAATTGCTTTTTCTTTTTTTTAAGGAAAATTTAGTTTAGTGGTTAAATTCCAGAAAGGGGGGGGGGGGGGGGGGGGAATCTCAGATTCAACATGTAGGCCAGCATATACGCCTCTCTTGAATCTAGATAAGGTTTAGTATCGGTGAATAGTTTTTGTTGATTTCATAATGGTAAACTGAAGCACATGGTTGGCTGAGGTATTGAAATGTCATATCCATGTATCTGTCTGATAACTTGATATTACATGTTTAAGATTAATATACAAGTAATGATTTTTTTGTAAAATTTTGCATCCCACAAACCAAAATCCTATTTTAGATAATGCATACTCTATGCAGAAGAAAATCGTCCAGGACATCAGTGTTACTCTTGCTTCAACAGTTCAGGCACCATGGAACAATTTATTCTCTCTCCTCTGGTTTTGGCAAGGCTGGAGTAGCTGTCATTAGAGTATCAGGCCCACAGACTTCAACTGCATTAAAATCACTTTGTAAATCTGATATACCAAAGCCAAGAACAGTTGTATTGAAGAAACTGTTTGATCCCGAGTCTTCAGAGTTGATTGACAGGGGCTTGGTATTATGGTTCCCAAGTAAGTTCCTCTTACTCAGCTTAGAATTGCTAGTGCTGTCATTTTGTGCCTTTGCTGCTCTGTTATATTAAATGGCACTTCAGTATTATAATTTTTATTACTGTTTTTATTTTAGTATTGTAATGCTCTATTTTTATCTTGAGGTAGAAAAATTATCAATTTCAAAGAGAAAAAGAAATATTCTCAGTTCATTTAAAATTTAGAATAGTAAAGTAGTTGTGATTATCTTAATTTGGTTTTGTCCAATGGACTAAATATGTAGCCGACTAAATTCTCTTTGATTACATCCAGGTCCTCACAGTTTCACAGGTGAAGATGTCTGTGAATTCCATGTCCATGGTGGAAGTGCTGTTATCAGTGCTGTGTTACATGCATTGGGAAACATTCAGGGCCTGGAGCCAGCGGCACCAGGGGAGTTTACCAAAAGGTACTACAACTTCATTCAGATTTGTTTCAGATGCCTGAATTTTATCGTTCATAATGTCTTAAGGGTCAAAATCTACTGGAGGTGAGGATGTTTTATTTTGGATTGCTATACTTCTAGGTCTGCTATTCTTGCTATTCTTCAGGCATAACATAGGCATTCTTTCTTTCTGTCCATCCATTGTTTTTTCGTGCATTTTTTCTTTAGTAGGAGAAAGTCTAAAGCTCTTTGCACTTTGAAAAAATCTTACATGTGTGACAGTGCAAAAATAGACAACAAAAATAAAAACCTCAGTAATCACTTCTATATGAAGTTGGCATAAGCCTTAATTTATTTTAGATCATTCCACAATGGTAAGTTGGACCTCACTGAGGTGGAAGGACTGGGTGCATTAATTCATGCTGAAACAGAAGCTCAGAGGCGACAGGCAGTCAGACAGATGGAGGGGGATCTCAGTAGGCTCTACAATGACTGGAGACTAAGACTTTTAAAGGTGCCATGCTAAAAGTTTAAGTTTGGTACACCATACGGGGGAGAACATAGTGCTAAAAATAATGTCAATTCAAATCATCCCCCCCCCCCCCCCCACCACCACCACCACCACCTTGAACCAACTTTTTTGAATTACGTGAACTCCCTCTTGTCTGACTTTAGTTTTGTTCTTCTGCTTTGCATTATCATGTCAATTGACACTAAAATATGAGAATAATTGCTTTGGAAAAGGTTTATGCCAATCAAGGTTAACATCAAAATGTGTCTGCTAAAAAGAACTTTTTTGGTTTATATTTTTTAATTCTTTTAGTGTGTTGCAAATGTTGAGGCCTATATTGACTTCAGTGAAGATGATAACATAGAAGAAGGAGTCTTGGATGAGGGTTGGTATAATAAAATTTCAGCAAAAGTCTTTTGAATATTTTATAGAATCATACCAATTTATGTTACTGTTGTATTCAGTGTATGAATAATTATGGCAAATTGAAATATTGCTCACTAATTAATGATGTTAAATGTGTGCTTTTATGTCTCTCTTATTTTGTATAGAAATTTCTGAACTTTTTCCATTGGGGACATTTTTTTAGGGAATTAAGGCAGATGTCAACTTAGTTATTGATTTAATTGAACACCTTTTTGCAGTACAAGTTAATGTCCAAAAACTTAAGAAAGAAATTGTGAATCATCTGTCAGATAACCGCAGAGGGGAGCGGTTACGTACTGGTGCGCACGTTGTCATTGTAGGACCTCCCAATGTTGGAAAGAGTAGTCTGCTAAATCATTTATGTAAGCGCACTGGTATTTTATTCATTGTCATTGGTTACATAATTTAAACAATAAATGCTTGCTGGTTTTGAAGCTTGTTTTGTAAATAAGATTATTCTTGGACAAAGAACCAAAGGTCGGTTAAAGAAAATAATTAGGTAACTTTGGAGTAATATCTCAAAAAACATTTCCTGAAATATTAAATAAGAATTGTTATTACCACTCCATCCAATTTTCTTGCATAGTTTATTATAATTATTAACAAAACCAATCTCTAATTATTATTTACTGCAATTTATTCATGCTTAAACTTAATACAATATGATATGTGGCTCGTCTCATTTGAGGTGTGACATGTTTTACTTGCTCAGGTCAGCGCCCAGCAGCAATCATATCCCCTACAGCAGGTACCACCAGAGACGTGGTGGAAACAGCTCTGAATATAGGTGGCTTTCCTGTGCTGCTGAGTGATACTGCAGGACTCAGGGAAACTGAGGATGTGGTGGAGAGAGAGGGGATTTTAAGAGCACTGAACAGGTGTGGCAAACTGAACCAAAGACATGCTTAACATATCTATAAAATGACAAGGCAGTTAGAATTTGGCCCAATTTAATTTGAATTTGCTGTGTAGGCAGTCCTGATTTTAACTGTACCATTTTCTTAATATCAGGATTTTTTTTTTTGATTTTGAAAACTTACACTTCATTTTTAGAAATATTATTTGTTTGATTTCAAACAGGGCCAAACAGGCAGATCTGACCATTGTTGTCTTGGATGCTCCATCATTATGGAAACGAATGGAAGGTGAAGACTTTTCAATGATAACTTTACTGAAGGAACAGTTAACTGATATTTATGGGACAAATGAAAATGACACTACCAGACAATCTCAGAATACACAGAATCAGTCAACTAGTCTAACCCAAGATGGTCAACCATTTCAAAACTTGGATCATCAGTGTATTGGTTTAAATGCTGTTTCTGACACCCATGAGACATGCCACAACCTACATGAAGAAGAGGAACCATTTGCTGAGAAAATAATTGTTGTGAATAAAATGGACCTTCTCACCCAACCACTTGATGTAAGGAGACTGGACTTGGAAAGATTGACAGTTTGTCCCTTGTCTTGTACAACAGGGGAAGGGATGGAGGAACTAGTAGAGAGGATTTCATCGAGTATGAAACAAATGTGAGTTCGGGTTTTAGGGGGATCTTGTGTTTGCCCCGTCCCAAAATAAACTTTAAATAATCAAACATTTCAATTATCCTCATATGTAGTTATTAGACAAACTTGAGTCCAACTTAATGTTATATTTTAATAAGTTAAAAATATTCAATTATTGAAAATATTTGTCAAGCTGTCATTTTAATCTTTTCACAGAATCAATTTGATAATGTTTTACATGATGAAAATATCCAATTTGAGGGGAGATTCAGGCTCGGGACTTACAAATAGTCAACTTGTGAGTAGTTTTAAATAATGAATTACTTTTCTTCAAGATGTGGCAACCCCTTGGCAGGAAACCCAAGTTTAACCCATGCAAGATATCGTACACACCTCAAGAATTGTGTTGAAGCCTTGGAAAAATATCAGGACTTGCAGAACAGAGACCTTGTCCTGGCAGCAAGGGCTCTACGATCTGCCATTAGGCAAATTGGGAAGATTACTGGTGCAGTTTCATCAGAGGCAATTTTAGATGTAATATTCAGAGATTTTTGTATTGGCAAATAGTCTTTTTTGTTTTATCAATTTGATAATTTTAGTTATTTGTGCATTTTAATGTGAATTTTTTTTTTCTTTTTTGCAAAAACAGTGGTGTAAGTGCCATACAGTTATCTTCTAGTTAGCATAATAATCCTGATGTGTAATGAGAAATCTTTTATCAAATGAGAGTTCATATTCTTACTAATCAGAAGACGGACAATTGAACAAAAAAAAAAAGAAAAGAAAATGCTCATATTCTTCCCATATTTTTATTTGAAGGCAGTTTTTATACAAAAAGATACCACTCCCTCTTCAAAAATAATCATTTTGAAGCTATGGTTGTCTGATCTACCAAAAAAAAAAATTATAATATACAAGTATATTCATTTAAAAGACAAGAAAATTTGCAAAAAGAACATATCCAATACTAGCTTGAAGAGATGTGAGCCTATTTCCTTTGCTTCGATTTATAAAATGTTCTCTGAAAACAAATGCAAACACCAGGGAATGCATTGGTTTGCAATTAAAAACTCTGAGTTGAATGCTACCAGTGTAATCATACATAAATGCTCTTTAAAACTATTCCAACTTTAACGACAGAGACGTCTAAATGCTCATAAAAAGCTGACAAAGACTTCCAAAGCAACTGCACAAAAACAAAAACACACTAAGCCGATTAGCATTAAACAGTAAAATATACATTATGGCAACTTGAAAAGATATTTCTGCAAGATTTGTGGAGAGCAAGGGAGAGAAGAAAGAGACAAGAAGATCATAATAAACTAAATGAAAATAATGACCTTTCTCCTTGTCTTTTTTCATTAACCTAGGACAAAAATAAAATAAAAGCAAAAGAAACAACCTTTAAATGAATCAAATAAGTGTCCATTCACTTAAAACCCCAACATTTCCATCCACAAACAAAAAGGACCTTTTTACACAACTATTCTCTTTATATTTGAGCCATTGGCTGCAACTACCGAATACCTTTAACTCCCTCATCATAGTAAATATTTAATGTAAAATATCATTTTTGATGATTGTGCAAATATCACAGAACATGTTATCCCAAATTACTATGTAGTCTGGATCATGATATTTATCACAACTGCACCACAATATAATGGAATGTTAAAGCAAAGACCATATTACCGCTATTCACATTTTACCACCTATAACAGGTAAAATGAAAAGGCCCAATACAGCATTTTTTCCCTGTCAAAACAAAAAAGAATTCAGTATCCCCATATATGCTAAGTACAATATGTGCTGCTATCAACTACCTATTGCCTCGAGATAAAGTACTAACATATTTCATACAACTAAAGCATAACAAAAGTATCTGACAGTGATATAAAAATAAACTCCTTTAAACCCCCCGATTTATTTACAATACTTAAATTTCAAGAGAAAAAATGTGCACTATTATCAGTTCAAATGGCTACACTGAAAATTTGAAATGCGCAACCAAAGACTGAAACCATATGGCTTAGGTTTTCAAGAATGCCAACGTAATTTGAGCTTGAGCAATATATATGTATATAACAATATATATAACATTATATTCTCAAGCTCAAGTTAAATTAGCTAAATCATTAGGAAAAGTATGATTGCCAATTTGGTACTGTATAAACATCCATTGAGTTAATGACAAATGTATCTGCCACATGTTTAATTTTTGGAGAATAAAAAAAAGCAGTCAAAATTTTTGCCCTAAAGCCTTAAAAAAATGTGAGATGAATGCATTCTGAATTCTACTGTGCAGGTCCTCCCTCCATGTTTCTCTTCATCTCGTCTATACTGTCCTCAGCAGCTTTAATATCTACTCCTGGTGGAATATCATTGGGGTTCTGAAAGAGTAATTTGTTAGGAAGTTGTTAATTAAATCTGAAATATTTTCTTATGCATTCAACAAATAAGGACGTATTTAGGTTACTTTTTCAAAACAGAAAGAAAGGTAACATGTATTTCACTGGTGTTATTACTCTGGACCTTACCTGTTTGAATTTCAAATCTTGATTTTCATCTTCTTTTGAATGGTTATCAATTTCTTCTTCAAACTTATCCTTTTCATGACCTGCTGGTGGCTGTCCCATATTGCCAACTGGTGCTTGTTTCATGTTACCACCTTGAGCCTGTCCCACACTGCCACCTGGTGCTGGTCCCACATTGCCCCCTGGTGCCTGACCCACATTGCCTCCTGGTGCCTGTCCCACACTGCCACCTGGTGCCTGTCCCATATTGCCCACTGGTGCCTGTCCCATATTGCCATCTGGTGCCTGTTCCTTACTGCCATCTGGTGCCTGTCCCATACCGCCAGCTGTAGCTTGCCCTATAGTACCATCTAAAGTTTGTATTCTATTGCCAGCTTCAACCTGTCCCTGGGAACCAGCTGGTGCTTGTCCCTGACCAACACTTTCTGTTACGCCTGGTGCCTGTTCACCATCTGCTTTACTCTCTTCTGTAAATGTTTTTGAAAACTTCATTAATTTAGACATTGTTGAGTATGAAATTTCTACAACAAATGATGGAACTATGGTGAACAGCGATAAATGGTCCTTAATAAAAATAAAATGATTTGATTCAGTAGTTGATAGTTCAAAGGTAAATAAATATGAGCCTCAAATGTTACACAGAAAAATTGTTTTGAATTCAACTAATAAAATGCTACTAAAAACTGATGTAGACCATATTTATGTAACAAACTTATTAAAAAAATTATTTAAAAAAAAATCAAGTTCCTTTAGTGACAGTCCTGGCAAAGTGAACCACAGTAAAAATCACACTTTAAATACTTAATATATTCAAAATAAAAAATGAGGAAATAAAAAGGGAGAAACACAAATCACATACTACATCATGTCTTAAAACATGGTTTGAGCAGAAAACAAAAGGCTATGTGGTGTCATATTCCAAAGAAAGTGACAACATGCACAAATGCAGCATAGAGCATAACCTAGCCTTTTGCTTTCTGCTCAAACTGTGGTTTAAGCCACTTCTCGTAAAGCTTTATGCAATATAGAATTCAATAGTATAATAGAGCATCCTCTATTCCACATGAAGCTCCATGCCTTGTACTTTATCTATGAAACAAAATATTTAAAGAAGGCAGGACAAAATAAGGGTAAATGGGTTATATATTCAATACAAAAAGCCTCTATGGTGATTACTCAACATTTTCAACAAAAAGAATCAATGAATTTCATTAAAAATGTTTTGTTAGTAATGCTTCAAAATACTAATTTGTAAGTTTTTAATAGAAGGTTGGAACTATTTTGAAAAGCACATTTGTAACTAAAATGGTAAATCTTCAAAAAGTAATATTATAACAGGGTAAGTGAGGTATTTGAAAATTCTGAGTAATTACCACAGATTTGTGTACACTCTGCTAAGCAGTCTAAAAGCAGTGTCACAACACGGATCAGGTTTATTATATGTATTGCATTACACGTTGCAGTTGACCAGATATAGGGCTGCAAAACCATATAGTATACTTCTCATATTCACTAATTATTTATACTTGAATATTTGTATATTTCAAAACGTGGGAAAAAAACAAAAAATTCTAACAAAAAAAGTGACAAGAACAATTTTTTACAAACCCATGGAAAAACACAAACAGAAAATAATCAAATACTTCCAAGAACTATACCCTAGTCTCACCTGGAGTGTTTACACTTTTTGTCTTATTTCTGGCTCCCCCTGTCTGTACAGACACATTCTGAGAGTGTGGAGAGTTGCCTGTATATGTATCATTTTTCCCTTCACCCACATGGGAATTCTGATTATCTACACTGGAAGTCCTATTGTTATTGTCAGTCCTGTTGCTGTTTGATATAGGACCACCACCTTGGGACACAGATATGGAACTACCTAAAACCAAGGTTGACAGGATGACAAGAGAAGCAGAGAATAGCATGGGGAGAGAGAAAGAGGGGGGAAGATTATAAAGACCATACAGTGATGTTCTATTTGAGGTACTGTTTTATCGTCTCAAAAAGATAATTTGTTGTAAAATGCTTTAAAAATCTGAATACTTGAGAAGAACTTCATAATTTACATTTGTCAATTTCAGTTTTAAAGGAAAGGATATAAAATATGTGACATCATTGCCACATGTTATCAAATACTTGAAATTACATAATGCATTACCAGCCTATTATTTATTCCTAAGAAGCCAATTTGAAGAAGTTTTCGTAAAGAAAGATATGCCAGTCTGTTAAGGTACCACAAGCAATGGATCCACAGTGATAATAAGCATTTGAAATCAATACTTGAGGAGCATATACCTCATAACAACTACAGAAAAGCCAAATAAATCAACTCCTTATAAAGAACAAGGCTATAAGAAAAACATATCTTCTGCATCATCAAAATATATGTAACTGAAAGTCTACACCTCATTCTCCAGCAGACATGGATCTCTCAAGCAACTGACCAAGTGTACATGAATTTTCTTCAACTCACCATAAGACACTTAAAAGAAAGACCTGCATTAGTCCATTCACTCGACAGCTATTTTTTAAGCTAGTCCAACCCTGAAGAGGGCATTCCTTAGCCTTTACCCACCAAACCATTATGTAAATATACACACATATAGATACCATTTTCCAGAGTCCATCCACCACAGACATTTACTTCCCAATCCAGGTCAGAGACAAGCAAATCACCAACAAAAACTCACCTCTTGAGTTAGAACCTAAATTCAGCAACCAGTTAAGAAATGACGGGGCTTCTGTCCCACCGTCGCTATTAGTATCAGTAGTAGTAGACACAGGGATAATTGAAAAATTGCTCCCACTACCCGTGGGGTAAATGGTTGAAGCAGCCAAGGTGAATGCCCCACTGTCTAAGACCACATTCTCAACCACAGCTTGTGTACCTGTTGTTGTTTGAATATCACTGTCGTCGGAAGATGTATCAAATTCTTGAGGCTGGTCTGTGTGACTGCTAGTGCTTTCTTCGTCTGGTTGACCAACAACTGGAGGTTTCAGGGCAGATTCCAAAGGTGCATTGATTTCATTGCTGAAAGAACTCCCAGGGGGGTTGGCATCTCCACTCTGAGGGTATGGCAAAACACCTTCAGATCCAGGTGGGTTGTTCTCAATTATAGGGGACGCCATGTTACCATTGGCAGCATTGAACTCTAGCGCTGAGTGGACAGTGTTTGGGGGAATGGCATTCGATTCAACAGGCTGCTGTAAAATGGGGGCCAGACCCTGGCCACTGTCAATGTCACCAGTCCTGGAAACAGCCTGATAAGCAGTTTCAACAGGTTGGCCAAATTCTGCTGGAAGCCCCACAGTTCCTGGCTGCTGTCTTCCCATTGGGTTAACGACGTAGTTTGCATTTGCACCTGGTGACTCATAACCACCTTGGGGATTCTGATAAACATAGGGCTGTCCTGCTCCTGGTGGAGAATTGAGATGGTTTTGAGGTGGAGAATGCTGACCAGGTACAACAAAATGCTTGAAAGGGGAAGTATTAGCAGCCAAATAAGACCCAGATGACTCCTGACCACCAAGATTATTACCACCATGACGAATTCCCTGACTATTACTGTTATATGTTCCACTAACTTCCCAAGGTAATTCCTGACCAGTTTCACCATCCTGATAGCCTAAAATATATTCTGTGGTTTCAGACCTGAACATGCAACTTCATTTCAACCACCATTTTCACTGGAGCAATAGAAAAAGCCAACGTAGCACTTGGAACCAACAACTCTGACTGCAGTCCCATTCTCCACATAGCTGATCTTAGATTTAAACCAATATTATATGAATTCTCATGTACATCTAAAAAGAAGGCCCATCCAAAGAACAAGCTAAAACTTCATAAACTTTCTTCCATTCACAAATGAAGTCTCCACGTAAAAGGCAATGAAGTAATACAGTAATAGAACAGTATAACCTCGACAAAATCCTTTTTTCACTTTCCCAAATCTTAAACAGGGATTGATATCCCAAAGCAAGATCAAATTGGTAAATGACCATCCAAACCAAGTAACAGATACACTTGCAAATATTTGGTCCCCAAAAGAAAAGAACATGGACGTATTTTTACATATATTCAGAACTTGTTATTTTAGAGTTGAAATTGCAGACAACCCTTCCCTTGTCATTTATTTACTTGATGATCATAAGTCTCATAACTGATTGTAAAACATGGATCTTTTTTTCCTACATGGCTTCAAATAACTCACATTAAGCAGATCAGTATCTCTTTTAAGCAATACTTTATAAGCAAAACAAGAGGAAGTAAAAGTTAGCAATGAAAATGGCATCCAGTGAAAGCCAATCTAAACATGGTGGATAAGACAATTTAAACATGTTAGAAACAAAATAAATTTGATACCAAATGTCTTAATTACACTACACAACTTAATTATAACTTTCAACAATGTGTTTTCATTGGTCTGTACCTTGCTGAGATGGTAAATTCCCATTTAAACCTTGCTGCTGTTGTTGTTGTTGTTGTTGCTGTTGTTGAGGTTGCTGTGTCAATTGGCCTTGGTTTTGCTGGAACTGTCCCTGATGAATTTTATATAAAATGTTTTGTGTTATAACTAATACTTGCTATTAAGTGAAAATCTAATAATGATTGTACTAAAATAGTACTACAAATGATGAACAACATTTGTACACAGAAAAAAAGTGACATTTGCCACATACATTGAAAATAGATGATAATCAAAAGAGAAACAGTAAAAAAGATAAAACAATTATTAAAAGATGACCATGTTTGACCAGTGTTGACAAATACTACCTTTGTGCAAAACACAAAAGAACTATTAGAAAAAGCCCATGGTGACTGGCCAATCAGAGGCCTATAGCTAGTACAATTCTATAATTATAAATTATGATAATCTGATGTATACTCCACCTGCACATTCTGACCAGACAGATCCTGAGCTGGCTGCTGTCCATTCCCCTGCTGTTGTTCAAGTGGCTGAAACTGGCCAACCTGTCCACCTTGCTGTGGAAACTGGCCACCTTGCTGCTGTGCTGCTGGATTGTTCCCTTGTTGCTGGTTATCAAACTGACCAGCAGATTGCTGCTGTGGTTGGCCTTGCTGAGCATTGGGGAGACTGGACATTGAACGAAATTGTTTTATGAAAATTATACATAGGTATAAAAAAGTTTACATTTTTATCTAACATATACTTACATGCCCCAAGGATAGAAATGATAAAGAATATTAAATTTGATGAAATGTTATGAAGTCACATGTCACCTAATGTCAGACATGAACCCAGGTTTCCAAAAAAAAAAAAAATCTGGACATTTATCATTTTATTGCAGACCTTGACGAATCTTAGAGACCATCACAATTGAATTAAAAATGCAGAATTCTGTGGAAAGGGCTCATGTCTGTAATATGCAGCATCCAAACTATTGATTTTAATCCTCATATATGTTATAAACCACCTTCTTGAAACTTTCTTAAACAATCTGTTATAGGTCTTAAAAAGGTCATAGTGCCTCTTCCATGCTGAAACGACTATAATACACAATATATCACACTCTGGATACTTTGGTCTTACTTTTGTGGATCAGGCAATTGCTGTCCTTGGAGCAAACTTTCAATTCTCTGCCAGATTGGGGAACCATAGTCCCTGGTGATTACATCCTGGAACTTTTTCCTCTGTCGCTGTAGAGGCTCTTCACAGTTAGTGCTGAAAACGTTCCAAGAGATTTAAGTATGGTATGTACAAAAAAAGATGAGAATCAAGACAACTGAAGAGAAGATATGCAAGCTTTCAGTCAAACTTCTTCATCCAGATCACTGACCTTAATAGAGGAAAACTGAAATAATATTACTTTGAAATCATTATTCAAGACTGAAATATTCTAGAATTTCACTGTAACATCGAGTGTCCTAGAATAATTTATTTTCAAGAGAATGGACAATGCAACCATTAAGTGGCATAGCAATCCATGCTCATGACTGAAACATTAAACTTTATGTTTGCATACATAATGAAAAGTTTGATGGTGAATTTCAAATTTGCCCTTCATGAATGAAGAATTAATTAAGCATCCAAACGCAATTTTGTGTATTAGAGATGAGCCTAGGTTTAAAAAAAAAATCTCTAAACATTTACCATGGGACCCAACACCTAACCAGCCGAACCATCAGAACTGAATTTAAAAATGCGGAGTTCAGCACTTTGGTGGAGGGAGCTCATGTATGGTGCATACAGAAGCTATCATATCAATTTGATCAAAAACATGCTGGTATTATCAAATCAAAGTTTAATCAGCTAACTGTTGATGACTAATATCCAGTGCATTATAAATCATCACTGCATTTGTAGAAATAGTAGTTGACATATTTATATAATATTCTTAACAATTTTCTGTTTTTACTCATTACATTTGACCAGTAAACTTCATCATGCTCTTATGTTTTTTAAATATAAACTGATTTCATATACACATCACAGTTTATCACAATCAGAACTACGAAGCAGGTTATGAGGTAGAGATCATAATACAGAATTGCCACACAGGTTACTTTACTACACTGTTTATACTCAAAGTTTCACATGAGTTACAGTGACCAAGAGATAGAACTAGAGTAGAATGTGTTTGTGGAGAGGGAGACAGATAGAGAGAAAGAAAAAAAGAAAGAAAGAAAGAAAGACAGAGAGTATTAATAATTTAGAGTACCTTTGTGATACAGCTGTTCTCGCCTTATCTTTTGCTTGCTCCAGTTCACCTAATGTCTGCTTATAGTCACCTGGAATTTTAATTAGGACACATTTTGATATCAAACTGATTGTATTCATCTGTGATTTCTTATTTGCCTTATGCTAAATATAGATAGATCAGCTATTCAGTATCAGAATGTTTCATGCATAGAATCAATATCTTAAATCGCTGGGAAGTAATGAAGACTGAAAGAAACTGCTGTGGATTTAAGTATTCTTATATATTCTCAAATTAATTTCACATACGTATATATACATAAAAGCATTTAATGTATTCAGTTGAAAAAAAGCATATATCCAGGTCATTTTTTCTGTCTCAGTGGAATATAAAATGGCTTGCCTGTTTTAATACCATTGTACATAATGACATAAAAGGTAACAAGTGAGATAGTGTACCATCCAAAAAAAAAAAAAAGAATACTCACCAAGTAGTTTTTCCATAGCATTTGCAACGGTGGTCAAATTGCTTCTGCATACTGACTAAAAAAGAAATGAAAAAATCGCTTATACATCACCCTCCCTGTATTCAAATGACACTACTAGAACAAAAAAACTTAGTCAAAAAATTATTTTAGTTCCACAACACTTTCCCTTCTCTTTAACTCTATAATTGTGTACTTCCATGCTTCCATGATTCCATTTATTCTATTTCTCCTGATATACATGAATCTCACAACAAAAAAAAAACATGGCCCCGTAACTCGAAAGCATCACACGTTGCGACCGAGCACAAACGTCTCGATTCCATAACTCGCCCATACTGGTCACATATAATAATACATTGTAGCCTCTTTCTGATATCGCTATAAGCAAAGTGCGATGCTTTCTAGTTACGGGGTCCATATTTCTTTTTAGCATGGATAATATATCAAAAATCTTTTGTTATAAGATGAAAGCACATTTATNAACATGGCCCCGTAACTCGAAAGCATCACACGTTGCGACCGAGCACAAACGTCTCGATTCCATAACTCGCCCATACTGGTCACATATAATAATACATTGTAGCCTCTTTCTGATATCGCTATAAGCAAAGTGCGATGCTTTCTAGTTACGGGGTCCATATTTCTTTTTAGCATGGATAATATATCAAAAATCTTTTGTTATAAGATGAAAGCACATTTATATTCAGTAAGTGCTGCTTCTTTTCATTTCCACTGTTGTAAATAATGTTCTTACAGCACAATACCATGCTACCTGTAATGACTGTGTTCAGATGGCATGACCACACAAAACACAAAGGTGGAAGGGTTGGGTGGTGGGGGGTAAAACACATTCCTATTATATGAAAGATTAACAAGGCATAAAAACCCCACCTTTGCTGCTTACTAATATTAGTCCTTATTTTTTGCAGTCTGAAAACATTTTTTAAAACTGTTCAAAATTTTGCCTTAAATATCTGATTTAGGTGTACTACAGCATTGTCAAATCCTTTTTGGCTTCACCATAAAATCAGGTAAGCTAAATCAAAGACAAGAATATAATTTTGGTATAGATCAAATGGTATTATTTTTCGAATGAGCTGTTGCCTCCAAGGGACAATAAATTCTATGCACAGTTTGAGGAAAACATGTTCACATAGCAGTGAGCTCTCATTCATTTTAACATTGCTTCTGTAAAAATTTTACCAAATTGGTTAAATATTAAAGGTACTCTCCATGGGTTTGAAACTTCCCCAAAAGCTTACTTTTGCCATCCACAGCTTCTTATAAAAACCTTACATACACCTGACATACATTTTAACTCCTTATATATTTTTTTTTCTGCAGCGTACTTGATGTTATATTTACAAAGGAACATATACTGTAGGGAAATGGTCGCTTGTTATAATGAGTGGCCAGTCATTTTCAACTAAATCAACCTTTAAAAATTTAATTAAGGGTCAAATCCAAGTGCAGAGAGGGATAGATAAATGATTCATGAGTATGAGAATATTGCTTATTTTCCTGGGATTCTGGGAAAATACATTTTGGTGGGAAAATCTCACAGAGTTGCTTTTTAATGCCTCTAAAACAATAAGTTTGTTTAAAATTGTATTAAAATTTAGCCAATCACAAAATGACTCCAGTTTGTGTACCTCTATGAAAGCTTTATTAGTATGGACAGAAAAAAAGTTAAATGACTCTAGTTAAACTAAGTTTATGTAACTCTGTGAAAGCCTCATTAGTATGAAAGGAATACAAGCAACCAAATATTTCCTGAAGCCAAACACTTAGTATGGTCAGATTTCATTCATTTCAACTCCACAGGAAAGTCAGTTATATAATATGCTATAACATAGCTGAATGGAATCCAGCGTGACTATGATTTAAGCCTAGATCCAATGATATATGACATATATATATATATATGACTATCCACTTGGATAAAACCTGTCAGCTAACAAGTTTAGGATTCTGGGTTCACATCAAACAGACTCAATAATTTTATATCTTGGTAAATTCAGAAGACTGATGACTTTTACAACTTCCTCCAATATATCATGTGTATGCAGCCCTTTATGACTTCAAGGTGTATATTTTCCCCATGATACGCCTTGGGAAATGAGCAAATTAAGCATACCTTTAGGTCATACAGCTGTATGTGTTAACTTTTAGCATGATTTGCCATATAAGTAAATGCAAGAATATGATGTCATATATAGTAGATGGTTGCACATTCTTGGTGTATGTTGTAGGGCACTCTATGATATTCTACTTTAAAGTTCAGCTAAAGTTGCATTACAGATCTATAGAACAAGTACTTTTACAAACAAAAGAATCATTCATTCACAATATCTAATGGAACAGTGAAAGCATTTCGACAATAACCTGCATAAAACCTTGCCATTTCAAGATAGGCATGAGGTTATAAATACTTAATCTATTATCTACGCAGAAGTCTATGCCTGTATATTCATATATTAATACTAAAGACTGCTATTTCACATGCACAGCTGCTGCAGCCTTTTCATATTTTTCAGCACAGAGTATGTTTAGTCAACTAATCTGGAACATGTAAAAATGATCAATAATTCAGCTGTAATGTAGGTCTGATGATGATTCACTATCATCCATGAAGACATTTTACTGCGAAGTTAAAAAGTTTTTCAATAAATATTGCAACACTGAAAATAATTCATCACTGTATGATATTGAATGTTAATTGTCATCAAATAAATTGCAATTGCACCACTGTATAAAACCATTTCAAAGAAGCTATCTGCTTTTTATAGAGAGGATTTTCCAACTGAAATCTTAAATGACATTTTCATCATATCTTTGACACTGACTGAAAAATAATGAACCGGAAGAATTATTAATGACACATACTTTGTGTTCACATACTGTGTGAACTGTTCAAATTCACATGATCAATGTGACAAATAATAAATTTAATATTTTTTTCAAAAAGTTACAACCGATAAAGAGGTTCTGTTAAATACATAAACCGGTAATGCATGGCTCGATGCCCTATTGATAAAAAAACATATAAAAACAAAGGTGCAGTTTCTTGATTCTACTGAATAATTATTGTGATAGGAAAGATAAATGTCATTATAATTTAATGGATTGCCATGGACACAGAACAGCGCACTTACCACTTCATCTCTACATGTACCCGTTTCTTGCTTGTGTTTATCAATTTCATCCTTTAAATGACTAATCTGCGTACTCAGATCGTTGTTCTCTACAAGTTTCTGGCTCGATTCTTTCTGAACTACTTTGAGATTGTCTTCATTTTCTTTCATTTGGCTCAATAAGGCCTCCGCCCGTTTTTCAATGCTCAACTTGTTCTGAGTCGCTAGTCTTAATTTCATAGAGAGATCAGAAACTTCTCTCAAAAGTTCACTGTTGCGTGAAGAGACACTCCAGTAGTTGAATGCTAAAATTGCAATCACTACAAACAGTCCAATTATGACAAAAGGCGGAGATCTTCCAGAAGGCCTCATTCCTCCTCTCGGTGTTCCGCTCGACGCCATGTTGTGTGTGGCGACCTCAGGGAAAGGTGAAGGTCGTGTCAGTACAGGTGTCAGCAGCGGATGTATTCCTACCTTAGAAGTCTTCGTGACGTGCCTACCCACGCATCTCCCACATGACAGACATTTATTTCTTTTCTTTTCTTTTTCTTTTTTTTTTCGCTTTTATCTGTTATATTTCTAAATGGTATTGAATTATTTTAAGGAATGATAAGCCAAGAAAGAAATAAGTTTCTTACCTTTTTGCAAATGTGTAAATCATGGAAATTTTAAAATGCATACTTTGTTAATACCCGAAATATTCGTATTCAGTAACGAAGGTTTTAGCATAATTCCATGGTTTTATTTTATTTGAAAATAACAACCCTTTGGAATAATGTTCACACCTTATTAATACAGTACTAACAAAAAATAAACTGCGCTACATACGTATTTCGAAATGCCTGTTTATTTTACCAAGGAGTTGCAACAGACACATTTTGTCCTCAACCTAAGATATATTTTTCACAATGACTGGTAACGAAGGTTTTTCAAATTCCTTTTACAGAGAATGCAGTTTTATTGTGTTTCGTGTAAAACATTTTGACTGTGCCCTGTCGCCATATTGTCTAGCTTATCATGGATGTTTATTAATTAAAAGTTTAAATAAATAAATAAATAAATAAATAAATAATAATAATAATAATAATAATAATAATAATAATAATAATAATAATAATAATAATGACTAAAAATAATGACCCGCCGCAAAAGCAAAAGATGTCACGAATTTTTTTTTTTTTTTTTTTTTTCAATTTTTAAAGGCTGGCGACGCTGCAAAAATAGCAGCAAGCTATATATATATATTGCATTGTTTTAAATTAATATTTTAACTATTTTCTGAGATGTTAGACAACATATATTCGCTCCCTGACAATTAAGTTGCGAAGTTTCTACTTTAGTAAAAAATAAACTAGATCGACTGGAGAATGTGAGATGGTAATGCTAGGGATTCGACACTTAGTTGCTAGACTTATGTTATTAAAGCTCCACTTGGCCAAACAAGTTTTGGCTCGCTTATTTTTAAAAAATGAAAAAATAAATCAAATATACCTATATATATCTTGAGAATCAGTCAGTACCGGTATGGCCACGTTTGTTGATATGTTTCTTGCCTTCACTTGACAGAGGCCTATAATGGGCGTGACTCACCCTGAGTTATTGTTATAAATCATTATCATTATTCTGTAGATTAATTAAGAGACCAAAACCAAAATATTTTATTAAGCTTAATTGGAAATATCACTGCAGCATGCCACGTTGGCAAAGCTGAAATCTGGACAAGTGTACGAAAAAAAATTTATGTTTGATTTTTTTAATTTGATTTTAGAAAAACCAATGCCGGTGAAAAATTGTGATGAAAATAAAAATGTAAATAAACATAAAAACTGATATAATGAAATAGATCCCTTTATATGAGTATGAAAAAAAAAAAAAAACGATTGAAAGAAAAATATTTAGGGCATCGCACAGGTTTAATTTGCTTTCCCCGTGCCATAATCAAACACTGTAACTATACATAATGTATCTCATATGTCATCTTGCTATGGTGTTAAATAATTCAAAAAGACTGGCATTCAGCTAGGCTGAATCGCTTTGTAGAATCAATCAAATCAATACCCATGTCCCCATGAGAGTATTAATGCTATATATCATATTAGCTATCCCCGTTGAAAATAACCTTATTGAATTTCCACTGATGCATTAACATGCAATTAAAGATTAAAAAACATGTACATATGATACTTTGGAAGCTCTTTCTTTTATACCTTAAACAAACACATTATGTACCTCATATTTACAGAGCATTACATTTTCTTTGTTGTGTGCAAAATATTTAGTTTACCGTTGCCAAGCAATATATTTACCGCACGTCACAGATTTGACCTATTTATCTACAGGTGCGCGCCGCCATCTTGTTCCTGTTTAACACCCATGGGTGCAAAATTATAGATTTTTATCACGATACTCTGTTATTCTTCGCTTCTACTACGGTAAAACAGAAACTGAAACATTTGACACAGGAGCTATATACACGAAGATCAGGATATAATCAAGACGGCGCAAGGAAGAGATGAAAGATGCTCCTGTCATAAGATACATTGTAGAATGGTAGCGGTATTTTGGAAATGGTGTTGTTGGACAGCGATACTGTTCATCTGTTTACAAATAGGTGAGTTTCAACTTCAACGACTTTATATGATTGTCTGCTGTCATTTATATGTCCTTTGAGTACCAGGGCTAGTTTTTATATAACCTTTTGGTCAACTGTTATGTGTTGTCCAGAAATAAAGCCACCGTAACTTGTAACTTGCAAAGGTTACGTCATGCTAGCTGTGCCTCTCAAGCAGAATGGCTTCATTCAAAAAGTATATGTACAGGTAGTACCCTGAGAAAAAATGCACTTATGGTTAGCCATATTCAGTACAAAAGTTGATTCACTTCACACAGAGTAACGAAGAGAACAACATACGTACATGTACTAGTATATATACAGTAGTACTGTAGATGCAAATTGTACCAGAAGTAGTAGTAGTAGATCCCAATGCAACCAAGGCTAGCTTTTAGACTACCTGCAATTTTTAAATAAGCATTGGAATTCGTCAGTGTTTTGTATTATACCCTCGTCTTGAAAATGATTATTTATGAAAGTTTTGTTTTGCAAATAAGTTAATCTGAAGCAGTAGTAGATCCCCATGCAACCAAGGCTAGTATTTAGCATACCTGCAGTTTACAAATATTGAAATTGGTCTGTGTTTTGTTTTAAACCCTTGCATTGAAAATTATTATTTATGAAAGTTTTGATTTGCAAATATGTAAACTTACCTTGAAAATTATTTATGACAGTTTTTGATTTGCAAATAAGTAAACTTGCATTGAAAATTATTTATGAAAGTTTTGATTTGCAAATAAGTTAATCTGAAGCAGTAGTAGATCCCCATGCAACCAAGACTATAGCTTTTAGCATACCTGCAGTTTACAAGTATTGGAATTGGTCATTGTTTTGTTTTATATCCTTGCATTGAAAATTGTTATTTATGAGAGTTTTGATTTTCAAATAAGCAAATTGGGAAATAAAGTTGTTTCTTCAAATAATTCCATACTTCAAATTGATATGTAATCATCTACCCAGTGTCCATGAAGTTTATTAATTAATTGATAATCATAAAGCATCTAAAACTTATGTAAATAAGTTGAGAATTAACTGCTTACTGAACTGGCCAGTATTTTATCTGCTTGCAATCAGACTTTCTCAGGGAATGGGTTTATTTCGCTATCACAAACTGTTGTGAAAATAACTGCTATTGAAATGGCCATGAAACTTCAAAAGTCTAATTATGGAATTTGTTGCACATTTTTGACACTGCTTTTCAGCTGGATAACAGTTGCATATTTCTATTTAGCAATTTACTTAAGCAAACATAAATTTAATATAAGGCTAACTTTTTTCAGCCAAGAAAAATTGACCACTGAGGACCATGATTACACCCCTTTTTTGATGGATTGATATAATTTATCATTCAATCATATTTTTTGGCTAGGGGGATACTAGTAATTATCTTTCATAAGGTCTTCTCTAGCATCTATTTTGTTGAAACCAATATTTTCTTAAATATTCTGCTGTCATGCAGAAAAAAATGAAAACTTTTCAGTTTTGAATTTGAAAATATATTTCACATTTTATGATATTTTGGTTACAATTTTCCCCACATTTTTACATTTCAGATACCACTTCAGCAGTATGTGACTGTGATATAGACTGTGCGGGTAACTGCACTGCGGGGACATACTGGTCTGCTGCCTCCAGTAGCTGTCAGACATGTGACACTGGATATTAGTAAGTGCAAATCAATTGATGTAATATTGACTTTCCCCTCTGAATTAGTGTGTAACATAGAAATTTATGACTCCAAAGACATTGGGCATAGATTCAGGAAATATCTATCATAGATCTTTTTTTTTTCTGTAATCCCAGCAAAGTGTTCACTGGGAAAATGATGAATTTTGAGCACAATGATTATTGTATGTATATTTTCCTTAAAAAACTTCACTGGGTTGCTGGGCCAAGAAAATACCAAATTTCGTAAATTTAATATAAGTCAGATTTTCATAAAATATCATCTGATATCAGACTAGTGGCTATGACACACACTGCTAGAGTAATACCTTTTTCTTTTCATGGAAATCTTTGCCTCTCTTGTTCAAATATTTCAGTTTAAGAAAGATTTAAACTGGATTTAAATGTTAAAGAAAAAGCATTGTATTAATTTATTTCTAATTCTTGATTCTGTAAATATTTTTTTGGAACATTTGATATATTTTTTTAAAGATTAGGCTTTTGAAAATCAAAGAAAATCTTAACCTAATTAAATATTATTATGTGCAATTATTTTTGAAGATAACTGTTGACTTTTCATTATTTTGTGTTAAAATTTTAATATAATGTACATGTAACTGAATGCGTCACTTCTGGGGGTGGGAGGGGTGTTTTCCAAAAGATTTTTGTTTTGGGTAAAAGAAATTTTAAGAGGGATAATAAGGCTCCATTTTCTAGTATCTAACTAAACTTTCCAGTTAACATAAAGCAGTCTAGGTTTTAAAAATAATCATTGTTGAAAGTTGATGATCTTGCATATATAGTTATGATCAGCTTCATATATGAATCACCCTTATAAATTAAAGGTTTGTGCTCTTTAGATGTTGAAATATTTAAAGATTATCATGCAAAAGTTGTTTATTGCTGCACTAACAATTTTGGCTCACTTTCTGAGTGGATGTATTTACACTAATAAAGTTACAGTTAATCCGTGATGAATAAACAACAACAAAAAGATCACAGTCTACATTTTCAGCAAATCTAGCAGCAAAGTCATGCTATGTGAAATTACAGCCTTTATCTTAGCATTCAAGTGTGTTTTGTGCTCGTGTTAGACCCCTTATCAAAATTCAAACATCATCAATATCGCGAAAACAGGCAAAACAAACACTTGATGGGCATAAAACCATTACAACCTGAATTGCATTTGGATATGTGCGATTGTGCATGTTTGTGTAAGCTCATGCTAAGCCTAGTGCTGCAGCAAAATTCTGTTGAAACAGTTTTTGATTAGGACGAATTGAAACACATGGATGAAAGTGATAAATAGAAATTAACAACCCTTTCCTTCCTCCAGACGATAAATTAACGCTACAAGGATGTTATACCATGCATTTTAGTCGCAGCCTTTTGAATAGGTGCACCGCTCTGTTTGTCGTACTGATGTAAAGGTTTGCTTTGGCTTCACATTCATTGTTGTCATAACTGTAGACAATCCAGATTACTGTGCCAGAATAGAGCTGCCCAAATAGAATAAGCAAACACATTGCCCTATTGAAACCCGTGAAACACTTTGGATTTAATAAGAGACATGCTTTATTTGGTTCTGGGGAGGGGTACTAGAGAGCTGAAAGGTTGCATGAATACACAAACCAAAAAGTGTGCTATGTATTTTAGAAAGGGCACAACCTTGGGTCTTTTATGTACCAGTGAATTAGCGACTATGACTCCTTGTTTGATATTTCTGTTTGACCCTCTTGGGTGCTTAGAAGTTAAATTACCATTAATTCAACATGAGTTTCTTATTGTGTGTTCTTTTCCACTTGAAGAAGGTCCCTTGAATTAAAGTTGTTTTCTATAAGTAATAAACCTTGATTTAAAAAATCTTAAAAGACTTTTTCCGTTTTTTTTTTAATATATGTTATCAGATTTCTTTGTCTTTTTTTTTATTTGATTTTTGGTTATAGTAGAGTTGAATTTTAACAAGAACTTCTAATTTACCTTAAAAAATGAAGGAATTTCAGAATTTCTGAAAAAGAAAAACCTACCTAAGACAGATTATTGAATTCTTGCAAGCAAACACAACCTATCTATCAAAAAATGAAAATAATGTTTGGTGATCGAAGCATTTGACATATTTTTTAAATAAAAGATCATTGCCAGATTCACATTACACAAGCAAAGATCTTGATAAATAGATTTAAACAAACGAAGTTAAAGATTGATAAATAAATTGAAAAGAATGAATAAAGGAAAAGATACATAAATACACAAACAAAAAATGAAGACAAATGAATGAAAATAAAGTTAAAAAGAGAGAACATCAAATAATAACAAATTGTTTTCTCTCTGTAGTTGTCCAGGGTCAAATTCATCCCGCATCCCCTGCAGTGCAGGTACTATGAACAATGCGACAGGCTCCTCAGATAGCAGTGCCTGTATAGCATGTGCAGCTAATGAAGTAAGCAGTGGAGGGGCAGCTGTGTGTGACCTGTGTCCAGTAGGGTATAGCTGTACAGGGTCAACTAGCACCACAGCCTGTGTTCTGCCTCAGTATTCACAAATAGGAGAGACAATGTGTAATACATGCCCCAACACCAGCATATGTGCAACGACTACTGGAGCACCTCAGGTAAGAGACCAATAGGAGGCATGCAAACTGTCAGTTAGATTTTCTCTTAAAAACCTCTTTCTGTTTGATGTTTAAGCACATGCAGGCAATCGTGAATAGCCAAGGATTCAATCACTGTCTGTATTAGAGTTTCTCAAGACTTGTTTCTCAACATAGTAAAGAAAATTTTGTACATTTCTTTTTAGTTTTCCTGGCCCTAATATTTGATGAATCTCTTCATGTTTAAAAAAATATTTCCTATCTATTTATTTTCGGCAATTTATGTGAGATGTGTACAGATATCAGTTTGAATGTACTACTGGATGGTGTCTTACTAGCACATTGTTGTTTATCCTATAGGAGTGTCCTGCCGGTCAGGTGCCTAACTCTAACCAGAGTGCCTGTGAGAACTGTGCTGCTGGTCAGTACAGACGGTCATCTGACCCAGCGTGTCAAGACTGCCCACTAGGTAATGCATGTGGTCATTGGTTTTAACTAAAAATTGTTTTCTGGCATATTTTTGCACACCACATTTGTGAAAAAATTGATTCTCTAAAAAGTGGACAATTTGACAAGTTTATTTTTCAAACTTATTTGGAAAATATTAATTCATAGATATTAAATATTTTTGGGTATGTTTGAGTTATCAAATTGTAAATATTTTTATGCATCCTCTCTCTATTGGAAACAGAAATTTATGAATTTTTGTCTGTTAATTCAATTACAAATACAGCTACATTTATTTTCATGTTGGAATACTGAAAAATAAAAAAATTGACCTGTTTATGGCCATATTTTCATTTTAGGATACAAGTGTCCTACTGGGGGACTCTCTGCTCCAATAGAATGTCCAACAGGGTATTATCAGAATGTGACCGGTCAATCTGCGTGTGAAATATGTCCAGCTGGTCATGAATGCTCGGACCCTACTGCGGCCACTGCCTGCTTAGCTGGACAGTATGCTGTAGCAGGGTCAACAAACTGCTCTAGTTGTGGTACAGGTAAGTGGTCAATGAAGAATGACCAGAGCTAAGAAGCATTTCAGGATAACTGTAATATATCTGTTTTATCTTACAGGGTAGTGTGTATGAGGTGAATTTGAAAGTGTGTGTATATATGTGCATTGATTGCAGATATTTTGGAGTTTGAATGAGCTTGATGGTATGTTGTATGGCAGAATGATGGATAGAGGAGATGAATGTGGGTAAGCAATTCACTTTGGAAGTTTGAAAAAAACAGTTTCAGTGTGAGAGTGACCCCTCCAAAAATGGGGTGAAGGCAGATGAAATTATTGGTTTTAATTAATAACATTTTGCATTTTAGTTAACTGTTAGTTCACTTGGTTTTGGCTTGCTTAACATTTTGTGTGTTTAAATAATGGCTTTAATTGTTGAATTTTTTCTGCAAATTTCAGTATTGTATTTTATAATGCTTCATCATGTTGTTTTGCTAACCTTTTTGGTTTCTATTGACTAACTTGATTTGGCAATTAGTAAGCTTTTTAAAAATGTTCTTAACATATGAAAGCTCTGTACTTAACAGGTTAATTCATTCCTGTAAGGTTATTTTTTGCTTAACAAAATTATTTTTTATCTCTCTCTTCACCTTGGTGTATCAGGGTATTATGTTATGGAAGGATCAGGGTCTTGCGCCCTGTGTCCTGCAGGCAAGGGCTGCACTAACCCCTCAGTCACACCCTCAGACTGTCCTGCAGGCCAATACAGTGGCCTTGGGGAGGCAGGGTGCATCAGTTGTCCATCAGGTAAATTAAATGTGGTGGTGGTGGTTTCCATTGAATTTTCCGTTTCCCTTGCTGTCAATATTTTAAGTATTATGGGAATTTGGTTGTCTCTCACTGAAATTACAATCATATGTTTGCCAGAGCAATAATGGTAGAAACCCACACTTTCATTGTTCAAAATAAAAAAAAACAAAAAATTGTTCTTTTGGTTTTACCCATCAGTGATAGATTTTCAGCAGAATTGTGAAAATTCATCAAATTAAGTTTAAACTCCCTGCTTACAGGATATTATAGCCTCGGTGGTGCCAGTAGTTGTGACCCCTGTCCAGCTGGTCAGGAGTGTACTAATTCTTCCATTAGCCCTATTAACTGTACAGCTGGTACATATAGCCCACTGGGGGAACCAGGGTGCAGAACATGTGCTTCAGGTATACACAATGGCCACCCTTTATTAATCTGTTTTAGAGGTTGTGGTATGAAAGGCATTTTAAGCAACAACCACCTATGGCTGATATTGCTACATATAATCATTATGTCCTATTTTTATATGAATTTGTATGGTAGTATTTCACCTGTTTGCTACCAAATATATGAATGTGGTTTATCATCATGAGCTTTCTTGTGGATCGTTGTCTGATGTGCTCTTCATTTACAAAATTTCAATGCACTAAGAGAATGCATGAAAAAAAAAAACACATAGCCATGCATACTTGGTGAACTGTTGAAAATGAATGCTATTCAGGGGCGGATCCAGAGATATTTTCTGACAGTCTTCCAAATTATCTTTGTTGATCTATCCTCCATTTTTGACTATCTTCTGACAAAAAATTAGATACCCGTGAATGTAAACTTGAAAATCTGACCGTCTTCCGGAAGACCCAGAAGACGGCCTCAATCTGCCCCTGCTATTGCTTGATAGGCTTTTACCACCACGGCCTCATGCAGTTACCTAAAAAAAAACAGAGGTTGCCTTTCCATTATTTGATTGAATAACAATGTAATTTACTATGCCAGGTCTATTACAGCAAATATTTATTACATGTTGATTTGAAAGTCTGATATGTTGACATGGCAACAAAATAATTAAGCTTTGATTTGCAGTGTTATGGGATTTGGTTAGACATGCATGTTCAGATAATTCAAATTCACCAACCCTGCCACATATACTTGGAGAACTAATTTATTGGATAGAATTCATATTAAGTGCCATTTCACGAGAGAATCAACCAAATAGCGGCAAGGTGGGGGTCAACAGATTCAACCCAAATTTTCTGTGTTTGATAACTGTTACAAAAGATGTTGAAAACACACTTCAAAAAAATTCTGAAAATTCTGGAAAAAATAGATATTGCCATCTGAAATTTGGGGGTCCTGACTACACAAAATATCGTAACAAAAGTAGTGGAAGTTTGCTTGAGAATTCCATGGAGGATTTAACATCTCAGCNCACAGTCAACTGATGAGCTTATCACAGATTTTCATTGTTGTTAAGAGCCATTTCACGAGAGAATCAACCAAATCAGCCAAAATGTGGCAAGGTGGGGGTCAACAGATTTAACCCAAATTTTCTGTGTTTGATAACTGTTACCAAAGATGTTGAAAGCACACTTTAAAAAAATTCTGAAAATTCTGGAAAAAATAGATATTGCCATCTGAAAATTGGGGGTCCTGACTACACAAAATATCATAACAAAAGTAGTGGAAGTTTGCATGTAAATTCCATGAAGGATTTGACATTTCAGCTTTAACTATTCCCTTTTTCTTAGGCTCCATGCCAAGACCTTTCGGATGATGTGTGACTAAAATGTCAATCACGTTGCTATAGTAACGAACTTGGCCCGTGAAAAGAGGGTACAAAATCAAGGTCAAAAATCAGCACTCGCCGATTGGCAAATTAAGCCTAACACGGCGTCGAATTTGAATAAAATTAGATATTTTCTAATAAGTTTAGGCATTGATCTTTGTGATTATGCAATAAAAAATACTGCACCTCGTCAGAATATGTAGGGGTGGAGATCCGAAATGAGGGGTATGAGCGGTGAGTTATACAGTGATTCCAATCCATTGTGCCGTTCAAATGCGTCTCATTTTTATAAATCGCGCTTTTTTGTTTATATTAATATAATATTAATATAATAGAAAATATTCTTAATTTTTTTCTCCGAATTATTAAGGTTATTGTAATGATTAGAGGATAAAGAAAATATTTCGAAACTTTCGTTTACGACTCTGCGTCATTGACCTCAAAATGAACACAACATGGCGGAAGGTGTCGGACTTAGATGTGAGATAGCGAATATTCCTGGTGCAGAAAATATACCGTGCGGACTCAGTGTTCCATACAAATACCACACGAGCTGTGTTTTGCTCAGGGAGTGTACCAGAGACGTTAAAAACCACTTAAAAAACCTGAAAGTGCTTCATATCCAAAAACAAGCTACAGATGAAAAGGAGCTAATTCTTCAAAGGCTCGGCCATTTCGACTTTGACCCCGAGAGTGAACTACTCAACTTAACAATATGTCCAGCACACAGGTTTCGTTTAGGGACGAACTGGACTCCGTCCAAAAAGTGCCAGCACCCACTTCACGAAGGGAAAGGAAAACCCTCTTCTTACCAAGCAATTGGCGTCGAGATTTCCAAGGAGCTGAAACTAGATTTTGGTGTGTTGGTCCCAGTAGGGTCATGTAAGTATAATGGCTATATCAGCTTCCATAACAAATTTTATAACTGACCCAGTTTATATCTACACTATACAATGAAAGGAGATCGTTTAGCATATTTTTTATATGAAATTATTAGTAACTCACTTGCATGTATTCAATGATTGTTTGTGCACATATATAATGAAACAATTTTTATTAATATTGTAGAAATTTAAGTAGTATATTTGGCTGATACTTAGTTGGAAGGTGATACCATTCTTTTTTTCAGCTCTTTGTAAAAAGTGTAAAGAGAAGGAGACTGCTCGTCACCATGAGAAGTATACAGCAACTAAAGATACATCTGTGGCTGCTATGTCTAAACTTTCTTCAGCCCAAGAAGAAACTGAAGTAAGTTATAAGTATATAGTTTTAGCAATACTGTAATTATCAAGGTGCACACTACTGATATAAATATATAGCAGTTCCTCCACTGTTCTCATATTGAAGTAGAGATTTTGTAAATCACTCAGTTTGTTTTTACACTGTTAAAGTACTGAGTTTATTTGTTAATCAGGACTTTGAGGCTTGTGACCATTAGATGGTTTATTGAAGATTTGATATGAAAAGCTTCTTTTATTGAGGTACACTTATACTTTTTTCACCTCTCCCATTATTAATTTAAGGTTACAATAACTGAAGATCCAGTGGAAATTGAGCTGGCTCAGCCTGGACCTTCTGGTCTTGGAGCTGTTAATCCTGATGTCTATGTATCAGAGGATGTTCCATCCACTCCCAGTCCTGACAGAACTACTAGAAGAAAGGTATTATTTTTAAAAAATACATATTTGTTTGGGCGTGTGTATTGAATTGTGTTTTTAGACATTGATAAACTAATTATCTACATGACATATCCAGTCATGTTTCTTACTATATGACTACATTTCTATGCAAAGCTAGCATTTGATTAGACAGTAATGTTTTTATTATGTATTTCAAAGCTAAACTTTTTTTTTCAGCGTGCAAGGTTAGACATACCAGTGTCAGGCAGCAGCAGTGGCAGCTCACAAAGTAGTGGGAGGACAGACCTTGAAGTTTCTTGGGCCCCTACGCCTGTAAAGAACCAGGACCTGGGGAATTTGAATAGTTTTCTTGTTCGTGGTGGGTTTGAACCAGTCAAAGGTCAACTTAAGTCTAGCTATGACACTTCTGCCCCAAGAACGAGAAGGTATTACAAACAGAAAGCAAGAGAAGGCATCAACTTGGTTCTGAACTGTTTGTCACCTGGTCAGGAAGAAGCTGTCTGGCGAGATATTCAGAAAGCAGATGAGGAAACCAGTACCATCAACACACTGATAGCCTGTTATGAAAGTGCAGATTCAAGAACAACTAAATGCCAAATACTGTCTTTACTATCAGCAAATCATACAGAAAGTGAACTGATGGTAAGAAAATCGATTGTTTACTTACGCACACATACACACATATATGTTCATAATAAGGCTATCATTTGATTGATTTATATTGTCCATAGCTTGTGTTATTATAACTGCTGTTGTTGTTGCAGTTATTATATTCCTTCTATCTTTTTCAGAAACTTGTACCTGGCTTGACAAGACACAGCTTTAAGGAAGCCAGAAAACATGCCAGAGATGTTGGGGCAGGGCAGCCTGTTGAAAGGGGCCCCATTACACGATCAAGATTAGACATGGCAAAGGTGGAACACTTTTTGGATTTTATATCTGGGCCTGAATTTCTACAGGATGTTGCATATGGGACAAAAACATTGAAATTGTCAACAGGAGAAAAGCTTGAAGTTCCGAATGCGGTGAGAACTCTAGTGGCCACCAGGTTAATCAGTCTATACAAGGCTTATTGTGAAGAAAGCAGTGTCACACCTCTAGGAGACACCACTCTTTACCACCTTCTTCAGGTTTGTTTACTGAACTTTCAAGCTCAATGAAAGAAATTGATTTCAGTCTTCCTTCTTTTTTTTGCCTTTTTTGTCAAGTTTTACAGTCATATGTGAAAACTACAATGTTTTTTTTTCCATAAAAATGTCATGAAAATACTAAAATTGCATATTTTTCATAAGAAATATAAATATGGAATATACTATTTTCATTTTATTATATAATCAGGTGTCATGAGTTACTGAAAACCAAACTTCATATCTACACTTTATTTATTCCTTTAGGTGTGCTCTGCTTCCCAGAAGAAATCAGTAGCTGGACTTGACAACATTGCGGCAGAAGGGGCAGCTGGTTTTGATTCATTGGAAAATGTTGTACACCAACTAGAGAAGCATGGTAAGATATCATAAGAAGAATATTCTCTCTCTGAGTCTCTCTGTTGTGTGTTATGGATTCATATCTCTCTGCTGTGTGTAAAGTTATTTGACTATTTGTCTTTTTCTTATAGGTTATAGTAAAGAATGGATAAAGGACAAAATACAACGCCTCAGAAGTGGTAGAAACTATCTGAAAGCAGATTACAAAGTTCACTTGGAGAGAGAGAGCTGCTGTCCAGACCATTGTCTCAACTATGCACTTTCTGAGGTAGATAGCTGCAATCACCCCCATGATCTCACTTGTGACAGATGCTCAGATCAGAGGCTGGTCATAGATGAAATTGAAGTGGCAGTCTCTCGAGAAAGCACAGTGTTCAGGTAATGTGAAGTAATACTTCTTGATTCTCAATTTATGTATGTTCATTTCAATTTTTTTGATGTGATTCATGAATAGAATAAAATGGAAACTCGTCATTGCTAACAAACTGCAGTAAAGAGGAAAAACTTATTCCATTTATAAAAAGCAGTCATACATGACAAAATGGTCTAGACCAAAATTATATGAGTGTTTACTGGATCCAGGTCTTTCTTTGTCAGGCATAGAAAACGGCTGATTAGTTTTGTTTTTTTCCATTAGTTCTGAAGAAGAGCGCGAGGAGATGCTGTTTGAGATTGATTCAGCAAAGCAGAGCATTTTCTCCTGGAAAAGCCATTTGTTGAGGTCAGTGAACCAAGACCAGGCCAAGACTGATGTCTTACAAAATATGCAACCTGGCCAAGCGTTGATAACCATGGATTAGGCCATGAAATTTCTGCCTTTGAAATTTAGAGAAAGCCAGCAAGAATGGTTTGCCAAGAAGGGCATATCGTGGCATGTCACTGCTGCAGTATCCTTGGGACAAGATGGATCATTTCAGGTAAATAAGATAAAGTACCATATGTCTTTACCTCATATTTGTCATTCTTTTTCTTGATAACAAGGGTATATTTGGCTTGTTATATGATACAGTGAATTTTCTTTAGAAACAATTTGTTCATTCATATCAAAGTTTTGTCATGATTATTAGCTTTTGAAAGATGTGAAGTTTATCATTCCTATATAAAACATCTCATCTGGGTAAATTCAATAGTTGCCAGAAATTGATAAGCAATGTTGAAATTTGTAAAATAATATTTTTTTGTCTTTGTTTTCAGATTCACTGCTTTGTACACCTTGTAGAGAAGGCCTCTCAAAACTGGTTTGCAGTTCTATCCCTGCTCGAAGAATCTGTGTGCCAACTGAAAACCAAAGTAGAAGATCTACGAGAAATTTTCATTCGTTCAGATAATGCTGGTTGCTACCATTGTGCACCTATTATTATGTCCATGCCAGCTTTATCTGAACGGACAGGTGTCTTTGTTCGGCAATATGACTTCAGCGAGGCACAGGCAGGAAAGGACTTATGTGACAGGAAAATTGCTCCCCTTAAGAGCCTTATTAGGCGTTATGCAAATGAAGGACACGATGTCAGTACCGCCAGTGACATGCACATGGCTCTGTCTTCAGCTGGAGGGGTGAGGGGCTGCTATGCAGCTGTTGTTGAAATCAATGAAGAGGCACAGTCTACTCAGAAGATCACTTGGCCTGGAATCACCACTTTCAGCAACTTTTCTTTTTCTGAAGAAGGGCACATTCAGTGCTGGAAAGCATACAGTGTAGGAGAGGGGGTTACTTTCCAAAAGGAAGCCCTCGACAAATTTGGCAGAGCACAGGGGGCTACCAACTGCCATGTCCTAACGGAATACACAACTCCTTCAGTTAGATCAGGAGTAACTGGTTGGAGGTCTAGCCATAATGTGGAATATCCTTGTCCTGAAGACAGCTGCGTGAAAACCTTCAGCTCTGAGATGGAACTAAGTAACCATATTGCATTTGGGCAGCACTCCATGGAAATTAAAACGGAAACTGTTTATGATAGAATTAAGGTCAGATGGGCAGAAAAGTTGGGGGAAGTTAGAGTACCTAGAGTTGTACGAGTGACGGGTGCTGTGTCAGGAAGTTTAAGCATAGAAAGTGTTCCTGTTGGTTGGGCACTGAGGCAAGGAAAGTCAGGGAAGAGATTCTCCAGTGAGGTCAAGTCATTTCTTCTGAGTGAATTTAAAAAGGGAATTTCTTCAGGAAAGAAGGAGAACCCAGCTGATGTTTGTCGAAAGATGAAGAGCATTGTGAACAAGAGAACCAACAAGAAACTTTTTACAAAGGATCAGTGGCTGAGTGTTCAGCAAATAACAAGTTATTTTTCTCGATTGAACATTCTGAACAAATGTGGGAAGCTAGAGGTGGTCAGTAGTGATGGCACTGATGAAGAAGCAGCAGAGAATGCTCTTCAGAGGCATAAACTGAAGAAAAGTATCAGTGATTTGTTAGGCATATAGAATGGCAAATATATAAATTGGATAGTTGTTAGTTTCTCTTTGGAAGATCTGAGGGAATAGTCGCTGGGGTAGCGCTAGCAATTTTTTTTACTTAGCCAGATCACCACATTTTGTCAATTTGTTATCAAAATGGTTAGAATTTGGCTAAAACATGTCAAATCACGCCCATTTTCTTTAGACAATTTAAGTCAGTTTTAGCATTTAGCTAAATTGGCAAGTGTGAGCGCTATCCCAGAGTAGTTATAACATTTAAAAGATATTTAGTACAGCGTTATGCTGCTTTTAAGATTTTATTGAAATGAGTCATGATTTCTTATTCACTTTTATTCTCTTTTTACTTGTAATGATGTGAGTAGTGTAAATATAAAACGCACAAATTTGACACTGTATACGTATTTGTGCAAGATGTTTTTAGTCTAATGAAAGGCTCAACAGTGCCCTTTTTATTGGTGCTTTATTTTTTTAATTTTCAAAATTACAATAAAATATATATTATTATCTTTAAGCAATCTGTTTTTTCTTTGAATGAGAAATGGAAATGAATCAAAACAGATATCATGCACCAGAAATGAGTGCTTCAATAATAATTTTTAAAAATGAAAAGTTACATAAAAAGTACGACCTTGCTCCACAGATAAAAATATAATAGTTTGAAATGGATACACTGTGGTGCATTACTAATATTCTTAAAGGGGATGCTGACATTACATGCTTATATTACATTCTGCATCAGCCATAGGACTTGTTCCCAATGAAAATATTATCCCACATAGATTGATTCAACTCCACAGATAAACAGATTTTAAAAACATGAGAAATAACCAATGATCTGTATTTGCATCCTTGTTGAACAGTTTCCTCTTTATTTTTTATTTATCATTTCTTATGAGACTTTTAAGGGGAGCAATTTTGTTCACATTTGTCCCTGCCTGCTTGTGCTGAACAAAGACGCCTGTCTGTTCCGATAAAGCTGGTTTCACTATGGACAAAATGTAGGAGACAGTGGTAACAGCCAATATCATCTCAACTAATATTTCTCCAAGGCTATCCATGTTTGTTTTCAGCTGGCAGACATATTTATCTAGCCGAAAAATAACTGCAACCCAGTTCTGACTGGCTTTCTCCACTCAGTGGATCTGAAAAAAAAAATGAAAATATTATTTTACTAATATATCCTTGCTTATAATTTTCTGGAAACTATGAATTTTACCCAGATGAAAGGCTTTTCATTAGCAAGGTCCTATCCTGCAATGATAAAATCCACCTTTCAAGCTAATTATTACAACAAACATCAATGACATTGAAACAAACATTGTTGGAATACTAAACAACTATATGTTTCAAAGAGACAATCAATCATATAATCATATAATAAGCCGAATGAAGTTTTTTTTTTTCAGTAAAACTAATAAGCCATATAAAGAATGATTACTCTAAGGCAAAGGCATGGCACAGGTGACAGAATGTTATTTACCTCATACCCTAGGCCTAGTGATTGGGTGTTGGCACTCTCTGGATTGAGTCTATTCCGTCCCTAGTCGATATATACCGTTAAGCTCAGTAGCTCACTCTCGGAGCGTCTGAAGAATGGGCTACCTATCCTTCCCTGATTTGACCCTGTCTGATTCACTACCCAAGCAAAATACAACTCGTCTGATATTTGTAGGCAGGTTTAAGTTCGCATGCTATCTTTTCTGCATCCAAAATGTTGACTTCTCACACCGACGTTCACATCTTTCCGCCATGTTGATTGTGAGGAAGCACGTAGAGTTATGGACGTAAGTTTCGAACTATTTTCTTGGTCTTTAAATCAATTACAACGACGCTATACATTCGGAAAACTATTTAGAGTATTGTCATTTGTATAAACATAAGCAAAAAGTACGATTAATAAAAACCAGGCGTATTTTAACAGCACCATAGAAATGAACCTCCGCGTAACTCACCGCTCACACCCCTCATTCTAGACGTCCACCCCAACGTATCCTGACGAGGTGCAGTATTTTTTATTGCGTAATTACAAAGATCAAGTCCTTAACTGTTCAAGAATATCCTTGTTTTATTCAAATTCGACGCCGTGTTAGGCTTTATTTGCTAATTGGTAAGTGCTACATTTGGACCTTGATTTTGGTCCTTCTTTTAAAGGGGCAAATTCGTTACTATAGCAACGTGATTGACATTTTAGTCACACATCATCCGAAAGGTCTTGGCATGGAGCCTAAGAAAAAGGGAATAGTTAAAGCTGAAATGTCAAATCCTTCATGGAATTTACATGCAAACTTCCACTACTTTTGTTATGATATTTTGTGTAGTCAGGACCCCCAAATTTCAGATGGCAATATCTATTTTTTCCAGAATTTTCAGAATTTTTTAAAAGTGTGCTTTCAACATCTTTTGTAACAGTTATCAAACACAGAAAATTTGGGTTGAATCTGTTGACCCCCACCTTGCCGCTATTTGGTTGATTCTCTCGTGAAATGGCTCTTAAGTATCATTATTGCAAATTTCACAAATATAGGACCAGATTTGTCAAAATTATTAACGTTTAACTATTTTATGCCATGGAATTTGCCCAACCTTTCAATGCAATTTTCAGTTTTCTCAAATATATTGTCAGATTAAATCTTTTTCGTGAGACACAGTCAACTGATGAGCTTATTACAGATTTTTGTTGTTAAGCATCATTTGTGCAAATTTCACAAATATTGGACCAGATTTGTCAAAATTATCATCGTTTAACTATTCTAAGCCGAGTCACTTTTTAAATTTTAATTTTCACTTTTTTCAAATTATGTATTGTTCTTTTTCCAGGTGACCCTTTCCATACAGCTGGTGGCTTCTTGGTGAACTGATACTTCCTGTCTGGTCATGGCTAATTCCTATAGAAAAAGCAGGCAGTGAAAGACGG